ACATCACAGCACTCGGGGCATTCCCATAAGCACTCCGTCCAAATCTTCAGCAGCCAGCGAAGAGTTCCGATACTAATGGTGCCAGTAGCTTTCTGATTAAACGTCCGTCTTGCCTTTCCTCTGAGCCTCGAGCTTCTGCCAAAACCTCTCGTCACCCCCAACTGCATCAATCTCACCAGACTGTGGTGATCCATCTGCTCCTCCGAATTGTACACGCTCTCCCACAAGGCACTAACCACGTCTGCCCTATCATGTATCAGTATTCCACCAAGTTGTGCAGAGCCAGCCAGTCTGTCCGCCTGTTCATTTCCCAACACACCGGCGTCACCCGGTGAAAAAATCTAGACAATACTCCTCACTCGTGTCCTCCGCAGCGAAGCATGCCACTCTGCACGAAGCATACCTGTTTTGATCTTCCTCAGCATGCTTTCTGAATCAGTTACAATCACGATGTGTGTGTGTGTCGTGTTCTCTAGCCAGCGGAAAGCTGCAGTGACCGCCTCCACCTCCATTCTTAAGCTGGATGTTGTGGTATCATATGCTAGGCTCTCCTGCACCAAACGTCGACCATTAACATTTGCTAAGAAGCCCCAAGCACTTCTTTTGCCTCTTGACACTGAACCGTCTGTGTAAATGATCAAATCCTCTGAGCAAGCATTATCTTGAATTAATTGCTGAATTTCCACCTCTGTGGCACCTGCTGACCAGTTTATGTATTCCCGGCTCAGCGTGATTATGACTCTACACAGGTCTGACTGCTTAGGTGGCACTTTGACCCACTCCTCTACTCGCCTAATGTTCTCAAGAATGCAAACCTGTTTGATTGTGTCTTCTGCCTGAGCCATCGATGACCTTCCTCTTATCAGCCGCTGACCCTTAACAGCACCCAGAGCTTCATGTAGAGGGTGGTCTGTGTCTGCAGCTACCCTGAGATGTGACTTCGCCTGCAGCACCTTGTACCTACCTGCAACCGTCGGCAAACCAAGGATGAATCGCATACACACCACTGGTGTGTCTCTGGTGCAATGACCCTCATAGCCGCGTTCTGTATGCGTTCTAGTTTGTCCCTCTGACTCTTTGAGACGGTAAGCAGTCCCAGACCATAATCCACCACTGACAGGATCAGTTGCTGATATAGTGTGAAAAGCATTCTCTGCTCTATGTCAATTGCAGCCATAGTCTTGAGTGCACCAAGTCCTTTTTTGGCATCTCGTCACAACACTCTCCACATGGTCCTTAAATGACAGGCTCCTGTCAAATGTAATTCCTAGATACTTCAGTTTGCTTTCTTTGTTGACGTCTCTACCATCTGTCGTGAGACTTGAGACATTAGTTTTAACGATTCTGTTGTCCAGAGAACACCACAAAACAGACGCTTTTTTCCTTGTTGACGTCAGCCCTCATTTTTGTACACCACTCAGTCACTTTGTCTACTGTCGCTTGTAGCTCCCGAGCTGTTTGTTCCCTCTCTTCCCCCTGCCTATATGCAAGTATATCATCCGCAAAAGTCAGTATCCTTCCAACTCCTGGTGCTTCTAGGCTTGCAATCTTGCTCGTATACAAACTTCTCAAACGGAAGTAATACAGGTCAGCAAGAGTGAGTGAGTGACTTTTTACCCCACCAGGACATCACACAAGCGATAAACACCCGATGACACAAAGTGCCACCATGTGGATGAGGATCACCGTGGAGAGGTCCCAGAAACCGCGTTCAGACATTTGGCCATTTTTATGGCCTGCCTATATTGCGGCCCCTGGCAAAAGCCAGAGTGGGGCTTCAAATAACAAAAAATTACGTCCTGAAAAGGACGTAAGGATTTGAGCTAATCAGCAAGATTTCTAGTCCGCTACATATCGGGTTGAATGGTACTTATCTGAAGCAAGTTACAAAATTTAAATGTCTAGGAAGTATATCCTTGATTTTAAACAGCATATTCATACGAGTGCTCTGCTATCAGTGCCGGACATTATCAAAAACTGTGAATTGAGATGCCTGAGAAGATCCGCCAACGTAACCATCCAAAACAAAGTTAGAAATGACACCAAACAGACTATGGGAACAACACCATGCAGTAAATTCATTGAGAAACAGACCAAATTGGTCACCTACTAAATTAAGAATGCAGTCAGAACTACCAACGCAGGCGCTACGAATAAAAAGATCCGAAGTGAAATTAAGAAGTTAGATTACATTTTTCTTACGTCCTTCTTAGGACGTTATTTTTTGTTATTTGAAGCCCCACTCTGGCTTTTGCCAGGGGCCGCAATATAGGCAGGTCATCATTATGGCCAAATGTCTGAACGCGGTTTCTGGGACCTCTCCACGGTGATCCTCATCCGCATGGTGGCACTTTGTGTCATCGGGTGTTTATCGCTTGTGTGATGTCCTGGTGGGGTAAAAAGCCAATCCAATTAAGAAGCCACCCTAGGAGAACATAGACTGATGACATTTAAAAGCTTCGACATCGACTCAGAATAGTCATTGTTGTCCATCAAAAAATGGATCGCAAACTGTTTCTCCCCACAACGCGTTAATCGCAGAAGTGGAAACTGATCGAGATAACTGATGATGTTTGCTTTTTCCAGGAACCATAAGTTGCAACCCTTTGGCACGGTGTTATGGATGTCGTAACCCTTCGGCCTTGATTCAGTGATAGATATTGTAAATCTAGGAGAAATATGGCTTTTCTGCCGACCCCCGGGCGTGAATCCGGACAAGAAATTCGTCAACCGGTCGCCGCGCAGAGGGATTTAACCAACAGCGAGACAAGCATCAAATGATAACAAAATATTACAAATAAAATTTCGAATCTAGAATATTCCGACGTCGGTTGCCTTACCAACCAAAAAAAGCGTCTTCCTGTTGTCTTTTATTTTGTGTGAGTAGAATTACTAGAAGTTTGGATATTTTTTCTTTTTATAGCTAAAAACGTATTTTAATACATTGCACATGTACACAGTTATGATGATTTCTTATTACTTATCTTACTTGTCATTTATACCAATCTTAACAGATGTAAGTTAACTGAGTTAACAGCTTATTTGGATGAAAATTGTACATCAGCATTTCATTTTAAACTGGTCATTAGGTGCTCAGATTTTATGTAATTAACATCAACAATAACAGTACAGTACTTTCACCAGGGCTTCTTTCTGGCAGTACACAATGGTGTGCAGTACCGGCACCTTTTTTGTTAAATTTTCCCACAGAAATAGACATATTATGGTCAGTACCGGAACTCTTTAGACATTTTCTTGTAAATACCGACACCTTCTTTCATTGAAAAATAAAAAAAGCCGGCTTTCCTTGCAATGACGGTCGCTAGTTGGACGGCGGCGGCCGCTTAGTCGGAGTTCAGTCCCCTGGCTGCAGTGCAATTATGGAGTGGAAAAGAGGGAACGACACAAATGACATAATTAGGGCTGGGGGTAGGGGTAGGGTTAGGGTTTAGGTTTGGGTTAGGGTTTTGGTTAGGGTTAGGGTTAGGCTAATGTGTGTCGCAGCGCGTGGTCTAGACGCCATGGTGAACTCAGTGTGTTTTGTGATTCGTGCCTTGTCCACTCCGTAATTGCACTGCAGCCAGGGGACTGAACTCCGACTAAGTGGCCGTCGCCGTCCAAGTAGCGACCGTTATTGCAAGGTGAACCAAAAAGCCTTACTAACGCTAATAATAATAGTAATTACACCAGTTAGCCAGTTAAGTTTTTTTTGCCAGTGTTTCAGTGTCACATTGCAAACAATTCCTTTGATTGCTACACACAAACAGTTACAGATGACACAAAAAGTGTGCAGTTTAACACTACATTTCTACTAAAACTACCAACATTAAGACCTGAATGTCAAATTTGTTTAACACTACCTGCAAATTATATAGTAAAAATAGTTACAATAAACATAGCTAAAGATTGGACACCCGCGTGTATTTTTGCGCAGGTAAAAAAAATTCCTTGGCAGTTGGAAATCTAAAAGAGTAGCTTAAAGATGCTGCCCAGCCAAAATTTTGGGTTAAAAATCTGCCCAAAGAATTTCAGGATCCTCACCAGTGCTATGAAGTTCATGCACTGCGCTGAGATTCTGTGGATTCAGGCTTGAGTTAGAATTAGAGCGGAGCCCTTATGGATTACTACCCTTTTGCCATGATGTTGATCTATTTAATAAACCATAAGGATAAAGCTTTGCTTCTTTTTTAAGAATTACATAAGGAAATATAAAAATAATTAAAACAGGACACAGTTAATTACAATACTGTGTTACAAGCAAAACAAACTTCCATTGTATAAACAAAAATGTTAACAGCTCAATATACAGGCTATAACAGTGGTTTCGATACTGTCATGTGCTATCCTGCTAGAAACAGTTAACAGATTTATAGGTGAAGTGGGGCTGTACTCATAATTTATACATATATATCTTTGTAAACATTGCTTTTGATAGGATTGTCATCATCATCATCATCATCAGTGACCCTTTGCAAAATCTAGTTCCTATCATGACATGTTGGAAAGCCACTTGTACCTTGCCAATTTCCCTGCCTAATGAAGTTTCATGCCCAGGGTGTCCTTGATATCTTGTGTCTGCTGTTGTACTAGTTGACCTTTGCCTCTTCTTTTATCACCCACACCCTTCCTTTCAGATTTTTCAAACTATCATTGCATTTTAAAAGGTAAAATTATTTCAGCATCCAAAAACTGATACTGTCTATGATGCAGCATCTGTCTATGATGCAGCATCTGTCTATGATGCAGCATCTGTCTATGATGTAGTGTCTGTCTATGATGCAGCATCTGTCTATGATGTAGTGTCTGTCTATGATGCAGAGTCTGTCTATGATGCAGCGTCTGTCTATGATGCAGCGTCTTTTTATGTTCAGAACTTGAAGAATGTCAGCATTTTTTCTCTTCTTAGCTTTGACGAGATAATGTTGTTGAACATTTTCAAATTTTAACCAAATCTATTCATATTTAGATTCATTCTTAAAGGCCACCAGCTATTCAGCAAGATGACAGAGAAGGTTACTGAGGCACCAACTGTCAACCAGTGGCGAAGGTCACTGAGATCTCCCAGTCCTGGCCGTGGACAGAGGCAAAGCAGAATTGATGGCTTTACCACAAAAGTGAGGTCACAGACACCATCTCCAACTCGTTCTAAAAGCCTGAGGGATCTGAAGCCATTGCATCGGTCGCCCAGTCCATCAGCATACACTAAAGGTTATTTATATGACTTATATTTTCAATAGATAATTTAGCAGATTGTTGAAAAGGTAAGACATCATAGATATCGCTATAGCGCTACAAAGTGCCACAAGCACTAAAAACTATACTGTTAGTGAACTTCAAGTTAATTGTTTAACAATGTAATTATAGAAACTGCCCTAAGTGATCAGTGATTTTTGAGGACTATCGTCACAGCACTCTGGACAGGTCCATAGGTGATCCGATCTCCTCCTCAGTAGTTCCATAAAAGTTAGTTGCGTATCTTTACAGCAGAACCAACCCCAGAATATTTTTGGCTGTTGTGGTTTTTCTAAGCAAATTTAAGTCCAGAAGTTTGTCATTGCTTTCTGGACAGTCGGCTTCTTGATACCACTGTCAAAACCAACAACAGGCCCAAAACCTGCAGCTGGGATTGAACCCGGCACCCTGGCATTACGAAACACCCTCAGTAGCTCCACAAGATAAAAATTACTGATCACATCCATCATGTGCTGATTAATCAGACATATTATGTCTCTGGTGAAATGTCCATGTCTGGCTGTCCCAGACTGCACTGCCATGTCCACCAACCTGGGACAGGATTCAGGTTTCTGCTTGTTGTGATATTCTTCACGATATGTATTTCACATGGTGCTAATGACATCACTCCTTTCTGTTGTTGGGCCAGTCGTGGTTAGCTGCCTTGTCTGCTTACAAATGGAATAAGTGAAAGTCTTAGAAGGAACAAAAAAAGAGAATCCTGGGATGGCAAAGTACAGAATTATGAAATGTAATAACTGGTTCCCTTCCTCTGCACATTAAAATTTACTGTAATTTATTAGATTGTTTAAATTTGTGTAGCAGAATTGTACATACAGTTAATTAGATTGTTTAAAACTGTTTAGCAAGAAGTTTACATATAATTTCTTAAATGTTTAAAACTGCTCAGCAACAACTATTCATGCTTAGACTGAAACTGTTCAGCAAACACTGTACATTCAATGACAAACTTTTTTATTCTTTGACTTGCTTCCGTTCAGGTTACGGGCAGAAGTCAATGTACCCCTTTTCTTTGAAGAAAGTCTTTATTATTTTGCAGAAAACTCCATTGGTTCTTTTTTGAACCTCTGACAGTGATGGTGTTAAAAAACTCAACAGACATCAATGATAACATTTAAGACAGGGTCTGTAAATGGTTGGCTTTTTTGTCAGGGAATCGTATCCTATAAATATATCCTGGGTTTATCTAAATATTTATGCTGGCCTACAACGTATTCGTCTTACGATGAATCTTTGGACCCATTAAAGATGCAACCAGCGGTGAATGGAGAGTGAGAAGCAACAACAAAATTCATAATTACAATGTGGCTCCCTCTAGGAATTGTCTGGGCTCATCACATTACTGTACTTTCCTTCTTTGTTGTAGAAAATTAGTATGAACACATCAGACGACAAACACGCCTATCGGCATTTATCGATTTTTTTCGCCGATCCAACATCTGCACTGTCCGATCACTGTTCTGTATTCTTGTTGATGATACACTCGCTCATCACAACTCGAATCTAGATGTAATTACCTTTCTGACTGTACATCTCGTTTAGGCCAGCATCTTACACTTGCAATTCCACACAGCCGAATCTTGCAGTTAGTTGACATTCAGTCACATCAACACTGCCATGTCTCTCAGCATCCCAAACAACCACATTTGGTCAAGCACTCAACTTTCTTCTCAGTCGTTCCTCAGTACTCGACTGCAAAAATAAGTGTCCAAACATCAAATAATTTTCTATCCTCTCTGTGTTCAAACCTTCCGTTCCAGTCTCATGCTTTTCCTGTACCTCTGTTCACACAACACGAGATAATGGAGACATGATTTTCTCCCTTTTTTTCTTCTTTCTTTGGCCCTGGGATTTTGCTGGGAATTCACCTCGTTACAACTATCTGTTTAAATCAACTTTATCACTGCCATCATGAGAGCTAATAGACTAAATGTTTGGGGCATATTAAAAGAATATCAGATGACAGAGAAGTAAAAACGGTATACACAAGGCAGATGAATGGTCGTAGACCAAAGGCAGACCTAGAAGGCGATGGAGAAATAATATCCAGACAGACCCGCAAACACTTGATGTCACCAACTGGAAAGAGAAGGCCAACCAGAGAGATGAATGGAGGCGGGTGATATCTGCAGCAAAGAAACTCAAGGGCTAGTAATGCTAAAGAAGAAGACAATGTATGCTGGCTTCTTCAGTAAGTCTCTAAAAAAAATATGCGGCAATATATTCCGAGTTATTGCTCATTTTTCTTTTGTTGCCCAAAAAATGGCAGTTGGCACATTGTGCTGTGGTTTACATATTGGCTGCAACATCTGCCCGTTTGGGCCCAACATATCTTATTTCAGCAAAACCCTAAAAGTAGTTCTCTTTAATAACATCATGTGGGGTTCTGTGGAAAGGAAAGAGGGACAGGTTATAAGTGACACCTTGAGTAGAAAAAGTGCTCCAAGCTGGAACACTGGTGAGAGACTGGCTTCCTTTCAGGTAGGCTGTGATGAGAGCAGTGTTCTGGACAGGACCTGCTACATGATGATGATCATCAACATCATAAACCACTTCTGCCGTTAAGAGTCATGGGAAGGAATAGTTTGCGATCCAGTGCACGCTGGCTGCCACTCGCTATTGTCATGCCATGATGGCATAGAGTGTCTTTAATGTTGTCGATCTATATTTTCCCGCAGCCGTCCACTTGCTCCTGTAGCTGATCTTCTGAGATGTAGTGCTTGTGATGGTATTTAATCTAGCTGCATTCTAACGAGATGGCCAAACCACTTGATCTGCTGTTTCTCGATGAATCTAGTACAAGGTGTGGTTCTCACAATTCACCTGATAGTTTCATTATTCACTTGATCTAGGATGGTTATGTTGGCTGCTTTTCTCAGGTATCTCATCTCGCAGGTGGTGATTTTGCGTATATAGGCTTTAGATAGAGTCCATGTTTGGCACTTTAGGTAAATGTTGGAATGCATATGGTGTTAATAATCTGTCTCTTTGCACTCATAGTTATGCTTGGATGTCTTAATAATGGTGTCAATTGGTATATAAGTGCACTTGCTTTCTGACATCTCTTTTCTTTTTCTCTTTCAACTCTACCATCTTCTGTGATCATACTTCCTAGATATTTAAACTGCCTAACTTGATTCAGAGCAGAACCATTTACCTGTAAGATGATAGTACAATAAACCCAGAATGCCTTAAAGCATGGACATTTTCTCTACTTTGACTGTACTCAGTTTGTGACCCTGGAATCAACCTGACATCAACAGTAAAGAGCCTCTTCAGCTCAAAAGGTTATTTTTACTAGGGAATGGATCTGTAACCATTTCCCACAGTATTGTTTTATCAAAGAAGTCAAGTATAAAGAGAAACACTGTGGCCAGTTGCCAGTGTGGAGATGGCACAATATTTTATGATTAATATTTTTCCTAATGGATGTCTGGGTTTTTTAACAGTTTCTTACAGCACTGATCTGACACAGAAGTCAAGCATGAAGAAAAACACTGTGGCCAACAACCTGAAGAAGAGCATTGGAAGCAGTCTAACAGCAGATCTGAGTATGAGTGGGTAGGTTTTTTTGGGCGAGTTTATTTTTCAAGTGCTACTAGCTTTACATAGCCTGGGATTTTTTCTGGCTGTCTGCAACTATATGTAATATTAGCATCTTAAGATAGTTTTATATACTCTTTTTTCAGTGCTGGTGTAATAGACACTTTATGCACTTTTTTATACACACAAAAAAGCCCTTTACATAGATAGCAGTGTCTTCATTTCCTTTGGATCTTTTCTGCTTTGCATTTGTCAGAAGTCTTGAGAATCTCCGACAGCACTCCATGTCCTTCTTTTATTATTCCAAACTGTCTCCAGTTGTTTTTTTCTCTGTTTTTGGTCAAGTCTCCCTCTACATCTTTTGCCCTGTGAGTTCCAGTGTGAGAAAATACTAATTATGTCAGGCTGTCTTAATATGTGTCCTATCCGATGCCAGCGTTGTTTCCTCACCTTTCGATTTGCTGAGATCTCTTTACTTCTGTTTCTAAACTCTGCTTTAGTGGTTCTATCATACCGTTTTATTTATTCCATTCTTACTTCTGCACAAATTTATTAAATGTGTGTAGTTCATTAGGAAGTGTTTTAGTCATTCTCCATATGTCTGTTTATACAGCATTACTGATTTGATATTAGAGTTAAATATTTTAAGTTTGGTATTCTCTTGACTGTTAGTGGCTCTTGAAAGTATGTCTTAATAGTATATATACATGTATTGCTTGCTTGGATTGTTGTTCATACAGTTAACTAGCTGAATTCAGGAAACTGGCTTGTTCTTGCAGTTAAATAACGAATTTCAGGAAATATGCTTGTTGTTCTTCAGTTAAATAACTGATTTCAGGAAAGACTGGCTTGTTGTTCTGAAGATAACTAACTGGTTTCAGGAAACTGGATTGTTCTTACAGTTAAATAACTAATTTCAGGAAAGACTGAGTTGTTGTTCTGAAGATAACTAACTGGTTTCAGGAAACTAGATTGTTGTTCTTTAGTTAAATAACTGGTTTAAGGAAACTGGCTTGTTCTTACAGTTAAATAAATGATTTCAGGAAAGACTGGCTTGTTGTTCTGAAGATAACTAACTGGTTTCAGGAAACTAGATTGTTGTTCTTCAGTTAAATAACTGGTTTCAGGAAACTGGCTTATTCTTGCAGTTAAATAACTAATTTCAGGAAATATGCTTGTTGTTTTTACAGTTAAATAACTGGTTTCAGGAAAGACTGGCTTGTTGTTCTGAAGATAACTAACTTGTTTCAGGAAACTGGATTGTTGTTCTTCAGTTAAACAACTGATTTCAGGAAACTGGCTTGTTCTTACAGTTAACTGACTGATTTCAGGAAACTGGCTTGTTATTCTTCCATTTACTAACTGATTTCAGGAAACTGAACAAATCTGCCACAGAACTAGCCAGTATAGAAGCAGAGTACATCAAAAACCTTCAGCAGCAAATCTACTGTTTGGAACAGGAAGCAGATTATCTGTATCCTTTGTTCAGATGGTAGTGTAGTAGCTGGAGTCTTTGCATATAACTTTTAAAAAAAAATTAAACACAATTTCAGTTATAAACATCCAGCACAAATATGTGGATTTGAACTCAAGACCCTTGGGCCTGCAGACAAGCATCTGAGCAAAACTTCCATGGCTCCCACTTGCTTATGAATGCAGTTGGCCTCTGTTCTGCTGTTATTTTTACTGCTGTGTCTTCCTTTTCTTTTCTGTGTTCCTCCTTCTCATTTTCTTCTCATCCTTCAGCTTCCTCTTTATCTTATTCTCCTTCTTTTCCTTACTCTTCAATGGGGGCGGGAGGGAGGTGGGGGACGTATGTCACAACCAGCAGTCAAAAATGCTTGATGAGACATAAACTGTATTTCAGAGGACAGCACCCTGACCAGACTGGCAGTAAGTAGATCAAGATAACATCAACAAAGCATATTGTCATTGAGATTAAGAAAAAGAAGCAGGAGGAGAAGGAGAATTAAAGGAATAGGGAAAAATGAGGAGGAGGAATGCAGGGAGGAAGAAGAAGAAACAATAGTAACAGCAACTGAGCAAAAGTAAGAGAGGCTGACTGAATAAATCTGTATCAGTGGTCAGAATATAAGAGAGCTCTTCCTTCTTGGGTCATGAACCCAATGAATAAAGGCTTTCTTTAGGAATGTGTAGGTATAACTTCACAGTAGCTGTCATGGAATTACCTTTGTCTTACAGAAGAATGTTGGCATCTGCAGCTTAAGCATTGCTAACTCACTTTATAATGCTGAGGTGCTGGGTTTGGTCTCAGCTGCAGGAAGTTTGGCAGCAGACCAATTTGCATTGCTTCGACTGTAGTATTATTAGCTGACCTTTCAGTAAGCAGTGGCAAACTACTAAGGATAAAAGTGTGTGGTAAAATCACAAATAGCCAAACAATGCTGGAGTTGGTTCTGCAGTCTCCTGTAGAGGACATGCAACTAACTTTTGTAGAAGAACACCCTTTGGACAAATTAAATTACAACTAAGATATGTTAAATAGAGCTGGGAATAATTGTTATCACATTAAGTGAAATATATCTTTCAGCCAGAGACGAGTGTGCCGCATAGGTTCAGTTAACCACAATGGATGATGGAAATGTCTATTACATTCAAAAAGATTTGCATTTAGTTGCATGTTAAAATATACAGCTGGATTTCTTATTATAACCAGGCAAAACATAAAATATATATATGGATCTATTATAACCAAGCATAACATAAAATATATAGCTGGATTTTGTATTATACCCAGGCAAAACATAAAATATATAGAAGGATTTCTTAATTTACTCAGGCAAAACATAAAATATATAGATGGATTTCTTATTATACTCAGGAAAACATAAAATATATAGCAATACATTTTCTGTTGTTGTATACATATAGACCACAGCTTATCTACTCACTGTGGTGTTTGGGACAAAAAGATATATAGGCCTAAGGTAATGCAAACATGTAGGGTCAGTATATGTTACAGTATTGAAAAGAAGTTGTCCTTAGTCTTGTGTGTGCACCAGTCGAGAACAAGCAAGGAAGGCAGTAGAGATGCATCCTCACATGAGCTTGGAAGCTGAAAGAATGTTGGCTAAGTTAAAGGTAAACTTTCATTCAATATAGTTAAAAGTTAAAGGTAAACTTTCATTCAATATAGTTAAAAGTTAAAGGTAAACTTTCATTCAATATAGTTAAAAGTTAAAGGTAAACTTTCATTCAATATAGTTAAAAGTTAAAGGTAAACTTTCATTCAATATAGTTAAAAGTTAAAGGTAAACTTTCATTCAATATAGTTAAAAGTTAAAGGTAAACTTTCATTCAATATAGTTAAAAGTTAAAGGTAAACTTTCATTCAATATAGTTAAAAGTTAAAGGTAAACTTTCATTCAATATAGTTAAAAGTTAAAGGTAAACTTTCATTCAATATAGTTAAAAGTTAAAGGTAAACTTTCATTCAATATAGTTAAAAGTTAAAGGTAAACTTTCATTCAACATAGTTAAAAGTTAAAGGTAAACTTTCATTCAATATAGTTAAAAGTTAAAGTCCATGTATTCAGCTTCATTGGGCATGGTTGTCCCATCTGGCTGGGTTTTTCACTCCACAGAACAGCTAGCCATCTGCCGAGAGCATGACACAAAGCATGAACTCCGTAGCTTCAGTGACTATCCCCACTGATCTGCACACAAATTGCACTCATAAACTGAATAAGCATCCATAAAACAAACTCACAACCTCCAGAGAGTGAGGCAAACAGCATAATCACAGCAGTTATTGTGTACTGCTTGTGTTTTTTAACTGCAGTGGAAATTTTTTAAGTGTTTATCTTGCTCACAGACCCTCCAGGTTTTTTTTTCATCTTTAGCTGAAGAGGTGAAGAGATAAAAATTTAGTCATTTTTAGACCTAGTGGATATTGTAATCTCTAAGCTATGCCTCTACCTAGATTGAACCAAGTTTATTTTCAAAGGGTTCAGAATTGTGCATGCAAGCCTATCTGGCATCCTGCCTTTCAGACCTAACTCCTTGTATACATACATCATTTCATTCCTACATCTTTTAACATGCATTTTTATTGGTAACAACTAAATATTAATTACAAATACAGGTGTATTCTGGAATTATGTCTACATTTCTGTACAATATTGTGTCATAATAATTGTAATAAATACTTGGAAAATAAGATATTCTTAAAATACTGTTAATTTCTCATTGGATTTTTAAATGTACAGTCCGCATCTGTGACTTATGCATTGTGAACATGCTTCGTAATGCCAAGGTGCCGGGTTTGATCACTGCTGCAGACCATCTTGTGTTGGTTTCGACAGTAGTATTGAGAGCTGACCATTCAGAAAGCAATGGCAAACTACTGCATGTAAAATTTGCATAGAAAAACTGCAATAGCCAAAAAAAATGCTGGGGTTGGTTCTGCAACGTCATGTAAAGGATACACAATGAACTTTAATGTGTACTGAGATCAAATTCAAATAGAAGAATGCAAGAAATAAAGAGAAAGAAGAAGAAATGAAATATTAATTGTTATCATGACAAAGCAAGCTCATATTCTCTACACTTGAGAACTGTATCATTCGTGTATACTTTTCACAGGAAATGCAGACGGAGATAGAGTCACTGGAGTTTGAGCTGAGAAGAAAAGATTCAAGTATAGGCTTACATTCCTCAGAGAAGGAGAGACTGGCAGAAGTGCTTCAGTTTGAGAAAGGTTTTAGATTTTATTAACATTGTTGTCATAGAAACGCACAAAACGGGGTCATGACCCCTCTGTAATTCCACATAAATATACTTCAAGAAAAGAATTTTACACCGGTCAATAATACATTCGTTAATCGACCTTTTTTAATTTTTTTTTTTCAATTATTTAATGACATATGAAAGAAGTAATTTAAAAAATATTTTAGACAAACAGGGTGAAGCATTGAATTAATTACATTCCCCTGAGCCTAAATAAAATATGTTTACAGTGATTCATCCCATGACCCCATGACCTTTACCACTGAGGTTTATGGGACAGTTTAATGCCAACTTGGCTTTAAAAAAGCTGTTTGGCTGAAATGCCCCCTCCCCCTTTCAACCGCTCCATAAATGCGATTTTTAATTAATTTATTCATATCCTGACCTCCTTACTATTTATGCAGTATTGGATTGTGCCTGTTCTTGAGTCAAAGGGGCTGGCACTGCTCTGTCAACTCAACTGAAAAGGATGATAGTGATGTTTATCCAGAACAGAGGTGTGATCATAAAATAAATTGTGTAGAAGTACTTAACAAATTGCATCACATAAATTATGTTTAGCGGTTATGTTATAACATGTTATACAATTGTGGTGTTATAGTTGTTAATCTGTGAGGCCACACTAGAGCAGGAGATAGATGTTCTCATTCCAGCACAACGGTCTTGGAGCTGATCTCTGAAAAAAAAGTAAATTAAAGGACCCGTATTGGGCATATATGGCTAGACCTGGCGCTGGGTGGGTGATGTAATTAACATCATTTCTGCCACCTTTACTTCCCAGGATTTTACCTGAAACTTTTTCAAGGCTAGGTTGTCTGAACCTGAACCCATGTCCTTCGGTTCCACAGGCAAGCATCTGACCACTATACCACGGTGGCTCCCAGTCTACACCAGGGCAAATTTTTTAATTTGTGATTTTTTTTTTTTTTTTCAAATTTGCTTTGGCCACCAGGTTGGTTCAGCCTTGGAATTAATGGTGGCTAGCGAGGTGTTTCATCACCCACCAAGGGCTGATCCGTCTGTAAAATATGAGTCTGGCATCACATGCCTTACACATGCCAACACCAGAAGCTGCCCCCATCGTGGCGCCAGCACCTGAAGCCCCCCTTTTGTGGTACCAACACCTGTGGTGCAGGGACCCTCCAGCACCCCCCTACAAAAGCAGCAGCCTGGAGTCTACACCCGAGACATCATGCAGTGCTCAAGCTGCAATAGGGGGCGTGGCACACAGCCGCGACCTGCCGCAGCAGCCCATTGTGTTGCTACTGCTCTGGTCCACACGACTTCAAGGATTGCCCCTGGCTAAAGTTGATCCAGATTTCAGGAAGCCTAACCCCAGTAGAAAGTGCTCAAATTGTTCAGGTACCTTGGATGCCCGTACCTGAAGGGGATCAAGAGAGAAATGACCACTGCCGTCACCAGGATCGCTCAGGATCGCCCAGAATAGCCCAACCTCTAGTCGCTGCAGCAGAGACGCCTAAGCTACAGAAAGAGATTGCACAACTGAGAGCTGAGATTGTGTCCCTCAGAATGGAAAAGGCAGCATCCGAAGTCAAGCGCACAGAGGAAAGAGTGGAGATGACAGGACTAGTAAGCATAACCCAAGAAACACTCAAGACCCAGAAACGCTTGGAGGCCGATGTCGCCAGCATGACTCAATTGCTGTCCTGCATCCAGTCCCAAAAAGAGAAGTCAACTAAAGAAGATCAGAGCAGCTACCAAGAACTCAGAAAAAGCCAGCTACTACTCTCGACTGAGGTGACACTATTCAGAGAAGCCACCCAAAAGCTGCGGACAGAAGTGACTTAGACAAGACACATGATCGAGGAGAAAGAGAAGGCCAAAAATTAGACTACCAGGCAGGCGTCTACTCAACATGAAAACCAAGTCCCGATAAAAACTGCAGATGAGGCCACAACTAATGAGAAAGACAATGTAGCGGCAGCCGATAGGGAAATCAGCAAGGCAAATTCAAACGATGTTACATAGTTTTAACAAACAGGTACACCTGCACAGGTTTGCGATGGAAGAAGGCCGCTATGTGATCTGTTACGACTGGGAGGAGTTCGACAAGAAAGACCCACTCCCCGAAGAAACAGCCGCATGAAATGTGATAGATTTTACGATGAGCTTAACGCAGCCATTACTCAGGTACGGGAGACAAGGAAAAAACAAAGGAAACGGGGCACGCCCAACAGAAGAGGTAATCACCAGTTTTGACCCACATACTTGTTTGAATTGACGCGTACCAGCCCAGATAGCAGCAGAAGACAGACTGACACGCCACTAAAGAGAGCCCATTAACTCTTTGAGTCCAAGGGGGTTTTGCATCAGAGGCCCGGGGGGGGGGGGGGGGGGGGGGGGGGTATGATTTTGACTTTTAACAAATGCAGCACTTTAAAACAAACCACACAACTGCAGCTGATGTCCAACATACACATATCATACATGAAAATAAACATAAATGGATAAGGATTAATATTAGCACACTGCTACAACAAACAATTATACTGTTAGTAGTATTTAGTAGAGAAAACAGTGACTTAGTTTGAGAGGTGAGTAAATTATGAACAAGTTTTTTCCACTTACCCAGAAGCTGATCCCAAAATTCTTGATACAGTATATCCAAAATGCATCACAAAGGAAGGTACACCACTTATAAGTATGCACAGCCAATATTAAAGCAAAATGTGCAATAGTTGTTGTTGCATAGCAATTTTAATAACACTACCATAACACGTCAAAATATATTCTCCAGTGGCACAAACAGTGACTTTTCTAAAAACAATTAAATTCCTCACATAGAAAAAAACTGTAAAGGCACTGTAAACATGTCAACATGTTCATAGATATATATCTATGGTTTTAGATGATATGGATAGTAGTACTAGAAGCGCCACTTGCTAGCTGGTGTCCGCGTTACGAGCTTCTCTTGTGTTGCTAGTCAGTTGTGTCCTCTTAGAGGAGGTAAATTACGCACATATCCTCATCAAAACTTGACTCGTCAACTGTTTGGGGAAATTTCACGTCGCTAACCACTCCACATTACTTTAATCGCCACTGTTTTATAAAATTTGATGATTCTAAAGCAGTAATCGCTTGATGGGCGTGAAGACGATGACTGATCGGAACATATTGTTTTCAGACAATTGTTTGGTAACCCCACACAAATATCGATTTAAAGCGTTAAAAACTCACCAGACCCAAACGAATGCACTCCACGTGTGTACACTACAGACTTGAGAACCGGAAAGGAAGTTTAAATTGAGCGGTTCGCGTGTAATTACCGATAAGTGGTAAATTAAAAACCGTCACGTGTCATGCGCTGTTTGGGCCGCCAAGTAGGAACAAATTAGCGCGTGATGCGTTCCTTGGGACTCAAAGAGTTAACTACGCTGCCATCTTTACGGACAGCTCATCAAATGGAGGAAGCATGGAGTTCGCCAGACCTGATAGCAAAAGCCAGCCACGAGGAGACCCCGCCCATTCCTGTTCCAGGCCGCCCCAGGCAAAAATGGCAGTCCTTTTTATGGCTGCCAGGTCTACTCCCCAAAAAAACAGAAACTGCCCGCCAAGCCTAACCGGCAGAACATGATACAGCAGCAAAAAATCAAACTTAGGCGAAAATGATCGCCACAAAAAAACAAGCTCAATTCAGATAGCCAAAAAACCATCCTCAATAAACCGCCTTCTCCCTTCGAGCATTTTTGTTTTCTTTTTTTTTCCAGGTTTCAAATTCCACATGCCTTATGCGTCACTAACGCAAAGGGAGTCCTTTATTATGTAGTTATTAACATTGTGTTTATTTTTTTTTTTTAAATTAGCATCATTAGGTTTAGAGGCGTCTATGGCAGGCATTGCGAGCCACTTGTAATTCCAATATACCACGATTGAAACCCACTGCTGGCTGTGTGGAATTTTGTTAGAGTATGGTCACAGGTCAAACCAGCCTAAAATGGGTAGCAGGATGTATGTCCTGGGGAAGTAAAGATGGCCGGTGTAATGCTGACATTAACCACCTAGTGTCGATTGGTTGATAAAAATATGGATGCTTTTCCCATATGCCTGATTGGCCTAAAGGGATGAAAAGGGATCTTTACTTTACTTATCATTAGGTTTGCTTTAGATAGATATGTAATAAGTTAATGTAAAAAAAAAAAAACACACACACACACACAAAAGAACTTATTACTAAATATTTAATGTCAGTTATGTGTGATGTTTAGCTGATGCTTTTTTTTTTCTTTCTAGAAAAAGAGGTGCTAAGAACTGACTTTACAGCACTTGGGACATTCCCTTAAGTGCTCTGTCCTCATCTTCAGTAGCCAGCAAAGATTGCCAGTAGTAGTTGGAACATATGTCCACCTGGCTTTTACTCTGAGTTGAGAATGTCAACCAGAGATCATGTATGGTCACTCCTAGCTGTACCATTCTCTCCAGACCCTAGCAGTCTGTTTGTGCCTCCATACTTTTCTCTTGTCAGCTCTGTGGCTAAGTCGATGCAAACGCTTCGTAACGCCGGGGTACCGGGTTCAATCCCAGCTGCGGGCCATGAGCCTTGCATTGGTTTCGACAGTGGTATCAGGGTGCTCACTGACCAGAAAGCAATGGCAAACTACTGGACATAAATTTGCCTAGAGATACCATACAACAGCCAGGGCGTGCTGGGGTTGGTTCTGCAACGTCCTGTAAAGGATATGCAACTATCCTGAACCTGACTTTTTTCTTGTTACCAAAGACCCTTGACCTTGTCTAGCCCGTCATGCATCAGTTCACCACCCATTGGTACAAAATCAGCTAGCCTGTCCTCCCTTACTCTCGATGAGTATGTTGTCAACATGATGCCAGCCGTCTTTGCTTCCCAGGACATTGCCTGGTACCCACTTTAGACTTGGTTTACCTGGGAACCAATGATGTGGATTCAAACTCCAGACCTTTAGGCCAACAGGTGAGTGTGTAGCCACTACATCACCACGGCTTCCATATAATTGATTGTGAGGTCACAAAAATATCTCAGCTGAAAATTCAACCAGGCTGCTTTGGTGTCACTATCCAGTTGACTCAGAAATCTGGTACCTGTTTTAAAAACTGTTGTTTTAAAATATGTTTATAACTATTTATTAACTATTGTTGTAAAATATGTTCAAAGTGACCTTGTATCTGTTTACTAGAGAACAGACAAAGAGACAAACGGCTTATGACAGACGAGCTAGTGACTATGAAGAAAGAAAAGGACAGACTTGAGCGAGAGCTTTCTCACAAAAATGAACAAATCCTGAATGCTAGAACTGAACTGGAGAAATCCGCCATTGCACTCAAAAATGCAGAAATCAAAATTAATACTCTCAGAGCTCAGGTAAGATTTTTAACTCTTGGTGGGAACCTTTGTTGTTTGTTTGTTTTTTCTGTTAATCAACTTGGTTGCTGTATTTTCCTAATAATTTCTTTATGGTGCTGTAAAGGTTTCCTTTTGCTGCTGCTGTCTTCGCTTCTTGTGCTAGGTCATCTAAATATGTCTTTTTTTTTGCCCTTATTTACCTCCTAATTGTCTTATTAGCTTCTGTGTTTGTTTTTTCTGAGCTCAGGCTTTAGCAGTTCTAATTTTGCTGCTTTCTAACTCTGCCCTTTGCTTTTCTATATCTTCCATTGTTTAAGGGTTTTGGGTGTTATCTGGGCCTTATGTTTCTGTTCCCTTTTACAAAGGACATCTGCCCAAGATTCATTTCAAATTCCTTTGAACTGTTCCCAGCAGACTTTTGTGCTTACCTCCTCAGATAAATGTTGCAGTACTGTAACCAAAAAATTGTTCCTTTACTTCTTTATCTCTGAGATTTTCTTGATTGTGAGATATGATATATCTCTTTGAGTTTCAACTTGATTTTACTTACCAGCAGATAATGGTCAGGAATTACATCAGCACTTCTGTAAGCCCTAAAGTCATGCAGGGATAGTCTCAATGTATTTTTTTTTCTTTTATGTATATTATCAATTCTATTGGTTGCCTTATGGTCTGGTAATTCCGATGTTGCCTTGTGTATTCTTTGAAGTGGGGAAATGCTTCCGCTAATAGCATATTGGCTCACTGCACAAAAATGGGTGAATAACTCTCGGTTCACTACTTCTAGTCCATGTGTTCCTATAATCTCTTCATAACATTTGTTATCTGATACTATATTAGCATTCAAGTCACCTACGAACATTTTTGAATTGCCTCTTCTTTCATTACTTAAAATATTTAACTGATTCATCATTATCTTTTGTTGCTGTGTAGCACTGTATTGCCAACATGTTCACTTTCATTTTGATTGTTCTAAGGACACTTTAATTCTAGGTCTCATTGTTTCACTTTTCATTAGTGCCCTCTCTGACTGTTTTAATAGCATCACAGCCACTCTTCCACTGTAGGGAGACTTTTCTGTTGTGTGCCCTAAGAACAAAAACAGTCACCTGAATTTAGAATACTTTTCGCCACTTTAGTCTGTCTAGTTTTGCATAAAATACTAATCCTATAACGTTTCTTTTTTCTTAATACCTCTACTAGCCTTCTCACATCGTACAATGTTCTAACATTCCAAATACCAGTTTTGGAGGTTTTACCAGGTATTTTAACAATCCTGATTCCTTTCAGCTTTCTCTGCAGCAACTCATCGTTCTTCTATTAGATGAGCTTTCACTCATTTTGGTTGGCAAAATACTACTTGTTTCTTTGTTTCACTTGTTCTTGGCTGATTGGTTTTTGTGGCTGTTGTTCCTTTTACAGGATGAGGTAGCCAACCACAAGCCCAACCCTTAGTCACCTTTTATGATTTGCCTAGTAGGGTGCGTTGTTACTATTGTTTGCGTTTTTTTTTTTTTTTTACTTCACAAGAGAACCCTGATAACAGAGAGGCAAAATTTTTTTTTTTCTGCATCCAGCTGGAACAAAGAGTTGAACAGCACAATCTGAGCCAGCTTGCGTTGGAAGAAAAACGTGCAGCCTTTTTAAATGTGGAAAGCCAGCTGCGAGAACTGGAAGAAAAGTATATCACCAGTACGGTGACTATTAAAGATAAACTGACCCAGGATCTAAGGGTAATTTTTTTTTTTTTTTATGTCCGTTTTAGATACTTGGTTATGTATTTTGATGTTCTTACTGATGTACCTAAACAGGGTCTTTTATTCATTGATAGGAAATTGAGCTAAATCTTCTTCTATATTACTAAAAGATAGTTCATGATAGTTTTGTTGTAGCAGTATTCTGGATTTTTTTAATTTTGCTGCTGCTACTACTACTACTGCAGCTGCTATTGTTTGCCTCTATGAGCACCACCATTACTGCTGCTGCTACTGTCACTACTGATGCTATGAGAACTACCTGTTTCTGCTGCTGCTGCTACTACTACCACTGCTACTATGAATAATACCACTACTGCTATGACTGTGGCATCTGCCGCGTAGGCATTGCGAATACACTTTGTAATGCCGGGGTGTCGGGTTCGATCGTAGCTGTGAACAATTTGTCTTGCTTGGTTTCCACAGTGGTGCCAAGAGCTGACCATTCAGAAAGCAGTGGCAAACTACTGAACGTAACATTTGACTAGAAAAAAAACACTACTACAGCCAAACAATGCTGGGGTTTGTTTTGCAACATCCTCTACAGGCTACGCAGCTAACTTAACTATGATTAAAGGAGTTGCCTCGGTGTAGCGACGAAATGCTCGCCTGCAGATCAGAAGGTCGTGGGTTCGGGTTCTGGACCGGACTTTTTTTCAAAAATGACCTTGGCTGCCAGATCAAACCAGCCTTGACTAGGTGCCAGGTGCAGTACTGGGAAATAAAGGTGGTCAACAGGATGTTGACCACATCAACCACTAAGTGCTGATTGGTCTATAATAATATATAGGTCTAGCCTTATATGCCCAATACATGGAAGGCGTGGAAAAGGGTCTTTTACTTTTTCTAATTACTATGACTACCAAATTACTACTGCTGCTACTGCTGATGCTGCTGTTGCTACTACTACCACCATCACTACCATTACATTACTACTATGAATACTTGTCCACTGTACATAATTTTATTTATGGAGTTATCTGTGATGAAGTGGTCAAGCCGATTAACTTTGCTCTCTGAAGGTCAAGGGTTCGTTTCATGACTGCATCCTTCGGTTCACAAGTGCAGCTTTTGCAATAACCCCTGGGAATTGTCACCAAAGCTACGTTGTTTGTGCTTTTACATCACTTACATATATTTTGAGCGAGCCACACTACTTGGAAATCAATCTTGCGACTATTATAGCTAAACTCACAGACCACAGATGATAAATCAGTGGGCTGGACACTTTGCTGCTCGCAATCCACAACTGCATCCTCTGTTGTTGCATTTTACCTAAGCTTTAAAAAGCTTTTGATGTAACATTTGCTCTAGTTACAGTTCTGTCTTGCAGGATGAAATCCGCATGTTGCACCAGAAAGTGAAAGAGGCTGAAATGGCAGCAGAAAAAGATAGGTACCTCCGAGACAAAGTGTCTGATGACATGGCCAGCCTTATCAGGGAAAACTCAACTTTGAATCAACAGATTTTAGAGTTGTCTAAACAGCTTGACAGAGTAAGTGCCTGTTGTTTTAATTAGAGTTAGTGCTCTTGTTTGATTGGAATAGATAAATCAGCTTCTTATTCGTCTTCGCGTTCACCAGCTGTAAACTCTGGCGGAAAGTTCTGGTTGTTCACCCACTTCTGGACTGCAGTTCTGTTCCAGAACCTGAGTGTTGCGTGTGCATCTGTTTGACAGATCTGACTAATTTGTATGCAGACTGTTGGTTCCTATCAGCTATATCAACACTTTGCAAAAAACACAGTCCACAATACACAATATAACAGACATACATGTAAAAATAAACAGGTTTCCAAAATCTATTTATGAGGATGACTAAACCAGCTTAAGAGCAAGACGATGCTTTCCCTATTCAGATGTGAACAGGCAAGTCAGTGTATTTATAAAAGAAAGAAAAATCTGAAAAATATTAAAGGAAGAGAAGCAACAACAAAACAGAAGAAAACAAATTAGAAGAGGATGGAAGAGAAGGAGAAGATGAGAAAAAAAGAAGAGGGGGAGAGATACACAATAAGCACCTCAGTGATTACCAGTAGTACTAATAATTTTCACAAAAATATGCTGTTCTGCCCTCAGGGTTATAATTGGAATTTTATGTGTTAATTGAGTTATTAGAGTATGTGTATGTATGTGTGTGTGTGTGTATTGTGTGATCACTTATTTCAGACAATTATGTAATTTGTATTGTTTTTTTGAATATTGCTTTGTTTGCATCTGTCTGCTGTAACCCTTATATGTTAACAGTTTGAACATATGAAGCTCGTGAAAGATATCATATAATTAAGAATTACCAAGTAAAGATTTTAGTGAAAGTTAAATGCAATCAAATACAAATGTCTGAGGAAAATAAAATGTGATAAATTCAAAAGAAATAAGAAAAAGGAGAAATGTCTGGGCAACCACCAGTATCAACATTTATAAGACAGAGAAGATGGCTGGGCAACCACCAGTATCAACAGTTATAAGACAGAGAAGATGAATCACCAAACCACCAGTATCAAAAGTTAATTGACAGAGATACATGGGCGGGGCAACCCCCAGTATCAACAGTTAAAAGACAGAGAAGATGGCTGGGGCAACCCCCAGTATCAACAGTTATAAGACAGAGAAGATGGTGGTGCTGTATTAGACAGATCCTGAGATGAAACCAATAGAGAATCACCAAACAGGTATTAAAATGAGAATTGAAGGGATACAGGAGGCGAGGACGCCCAGAAGAAACCCTAAGATGATAATTAACTGTTGAGCAGGATAGAATGAAATAGATGAATAGCTTGCGAGCCCTACATGGCATATAATGGCACAGCAGGATACTGAATGAATCAATAAAGATGTTATTGTTAAGAGAGTTAAACTGAACTTGGTTAAAAACCAACATCAAAGCACTGGCAACATGACAGCAAACTCTCTGTCCTCATCTGCAGCAGCCAGTGAAAATATTCATTTGTGATGGTACCAGTAACAGTTTGATTGATTATATATCCTTTTTTGTCTTTCCTGTGAGTGTAGAGTGTTGGCCAGATCCTAGTAGCCAACAGCTGCCTGTTTCCTCAGATGCATTGACTGATGCTTTTTTAAATGTATTCTAGGAAAGAGAATTACGAAATTCTACTGACCAGCTTCACACCAGGACTGTTGCAGAAATTATTACTCTCAAGGAAAAACTTCATGAGAATGATATTCTCCGAGATCAAATAAGACTTGAGCAGGAGAAGTCCAGGCAGTACTTAGAGCAGGTGAACAGTCAAATATGTCCAACTCACATTGATTGCAGATTTGCTGAGTTATGTTTTTAATATATAATTTTGTGCAAAGACTTATTTTAATGTGTGCTTTGAGATTACTAAGCAAATGGTGTTAAACCCATATCTTTATACATCAGGCAAGGCGTAGTTGGCTAAACCGATTACGCTGTGACTGGGTGATGAACTCCTTGTAGGCAGTAAAGCCACATTTCTCCCAGATTTACAGTATTTACAATGGAATCAAGGCCGAAAGGTTGCGATATCCATAATACCGAGCCTAAGGGTTAACAACTCATGGATTCTGGATACTAAAACAAACAAGCAATACATCAGGCAGTACAGTACCTACTGCCTCCCTATCAGGCATGTCGCAAAAGGCAGTTAATTATGGATTATTTCTTCCAGATTCAGAGCACATTTGCCTAGGAGGTGAAAAACCAACAGTCTGCATAGAAAATAAACACATCTGTAAAACAGATGTGCACACAAAACTCACGTTCAGGAACAAAACCAAAGTCCAGAAGTGTATGAAGAACCAGAACCTTCCACTGGAGTTTACAGCCAGTGAATGCGAAGAAGAAGAAGAAGAAGAAGAAGAAGAAGAAGAAGAAGAAGAAGAAGAAGAAGAAGAAGAAGAAGAAGAAGAAGAAGAAGAAGAAGAAGAAGAAGAAGAAGAAGAAGAAGAAGAAGAAGAAGAAGAAAAAGAGTATGCACTGATGGTGTGATTAGTGTTGGCTGGGTGTATCTCACAGGACATTCACAGATACTCATTTTTGGCTCGTTGACCTGTGAGAGAATCACCAAATAGGTATTTCAATGGGAAACAAATAGACTGGGGAAATTAGCAAATAAGAACAACAAAGAAAAACCCTAAAACAAATATGGATGAGAGAAGCCGCAGGTACTGACTAAATTACATCCATGATTTTGAAAAGACTGCACAGGGTGGAATGTAGGAGCAGACTGTGATTTATGTAGCAGGACTGTGATTTGTAGCAGGACTGTATTTACAGGTCTGTGATTTGTGTAACAGGACTGTGATTTCTGTAACAGGACTGTGATTTATGTAACAGGACTGTGATTTATGTAACAGGACTGTGATTTATGTAAGAGGACATATAATAGCACAACAGGATGGAGATGATAGTGATGCTGCTGCTGCTGATGATGATGATGATGATGATGATGATGATGATGATGATGATGATGATGATGATGATGATGATGATGATGATGATGATGATGATGACAGGGAAGACAAGTTAAAATGTTTAAAATTTCCCCAGATGGGGATTTGAACTTATGACTGGCAGACACATATTCTAGACTAGCTTGCTGTGCTGCATCACCCAAATGACAGAGTTTATTCTTTCTTATAGATAAAGACATCTTTTAGCAGATGCTACCATTGAGATGTGTTGTGTTAGTCCTTTATGTTTTCTAGGCTGTGGTATAATTAGATGAGATGTGTTCCCTCCTGGCTGCTTTTCCTTCTTAAACAATACTTAGAACATTCTGAAAACTTTCAAGTACCCATCTTATGGGGTTGAGTTGATAACAGAGATTTGTCGTTGTTGTTTTAATTAAAGTTATGGCTCTTATTTTAATTAGAGTTAGTGCTCTTGTTTTAATTAGAGTTAGCGCTCTTGCTTTAATTAGAGTTAGTACTCTTATTTTAATTAAAGTTAGTTCTCTTGTTTTAATTAGAGTTAGTGCTCTTGTTTTAATTAGAGTTAGTGCTCTTGTTTTAATTAGAGTTAACATTCTTGTTCTCCTCCAGCTTACTTACACTATTCTCCTATCCTTTGCCACTATTTGCAGTTCACTTCATACCATCTCTATCTTTGTCTTCATTCTTTTCATCATATGTTTACAAATATTTTAAGTAAAATTACGAAACTTTGAAAACACAGTTCACTTGCCTGGTAGCCTTGTGATCATGTGTTTTAAATCTGTGTAGTCTGTGATTCTAATTTATACCTATATTATGTGGGCATTGTCAGTAAAAAATATACAGGACTGTTCACTAATTTGTCTTGTCAACAGCTGACAAATGAGGGAACCTCCAGCAAGCAGTCTGAGCTTCAACTAAACACGATAAAGTCTCGCCTCAGAGAGACTGAGGAGATGTATAAAGTTATTGAGTCTGAAAATTCCCAGCTACGTAGGGACAAGGCACTGCTTATTGACCATGTTGCAGAACTGCACAAGAAGGTGAAAGTCTGTTAAATCAATTGTTTTATCATCGACAGTCATCTTTTCCTCTTTTTTGTGTCTCCTTCTTCTTCTTCTTCTTCTTCTTCTTCTTCTTCTTCTTCTTCTTCTTCTTCTTCTTCTTCTTCCTATTCTTCTTCATTTTTGAGGGGCTTCTTTATTGCTGGATGATATTTGCCTCAAGAGATCATGTAAATGTGTATGAGCTGGACAATTCTGTATAATATATACTGGATGAAACAGTTGCCTCCTTCGAATCTTCCAAAGCATGAACTGAGAGTCATATAATAGCTTCCTTGTAATACAGAAACATCAGACCTCCATCTTTGTCAAAGGCTTCTGTATGTCCAAGTGCATGCTGGAAATACTTACAATCAATGCATATGGGAAGCCAGAATTCGGTCAAAATGGTTAAGTAGAAAAATAACTGTTGTAATTTAAATTTGTTAAGTAAGAAAATTTGATATTTTGAGCTGAGATGATATAGAAATATTCACAGAATATTATGGACCATGAAAAAAAGAAATACTGACATCTTGAAAGATCTGCCGTCAAGGAAGATTGACTAGTAAACAGCATCTAGTCTGGGGAACTGAAATATTTTAGCCACATCAAGCATCACGGCGGATGGGAAAGAATAAAAGCAGAAGGTATGGTGACAGGAAAGAGGTACAGCAACAACCAGTACGAAGATGTGCACAAGATATGTGGCACCTTGGGTAGGAAAGTACATAAGGCATGAGAGCTGGTGAGAGACTGAGTTTCTTTTAGGCAGACCGTGATGAGAGGGATGTTCTGCAAAGGACCTAATACATGATTATGTTAATTTAAATAAGGAGATCACAGACGATATATTTCATAATTCATTGCCAGGCATTTGTCACTGTATCTCGTCAGGTGCATAATCACACAATTTACATAAACATATAATGAAGTTCACAATATAATCCTTTCACTATTTTTCAACATGTACATTTGGACGTCCACACTCTGTTGTCCATAAGCATAAAACAATGTATGGCATCTTGTTTTGTTTTTACATTAGGCCCAGACACACTAAAATAATCTGGCTAGATATTGTAACATGCTGAACATAAAATGTGACAACTTTAGAGTTAAACCACTCATAAATTCTTATTGATGATTATCCTGCCCTGGCATTGCTGCATCATTTTCCTGGGATTGAAGTAGTTAAAACTGTCAGTCTTTATCTGTTTAAAAAAAAAAAAAAAAAAGACTAAAAAAATGAATTTTTCCTTTAGATTGATCATTTATAAATATACTTGTATATTTTCTTCAGACTGAAGATAAAGATAGAGAAATACTGAACCTACAGAACAGAATAGGTGATATTGCAGCAAAGCTCAGAGGATCCGATCTACAAAAAAGCATGGATTTAACACATCAGAGTCAAAGATGGGAGGAGTTTTCTCGTTTGGCAGACAACATGAAATCTCTGTCTCAGTCTATGCAGGCCCAAACTTCACTCAATGTTGTGTCACCTCGTCGTTCACCATATCAGTATTAATCACATTATTTGTTAGTCATATTTTCTTTTTGAATGTTTATTAGTTCAATTTTTCTTGGAAAAAAATATAAGCAAACTAGTTATGTTTACTCTTCAAATATAATACTGTTATTAGTAAATAAAAATATACTTCTTCTTCTGACTTGGCAGTGTAGTAACAATTAATGGATAAGGAATAAATTTAACAATTATTACAGCTGTACAGACACTAACTATTAAAAATAAAGATTACTGGACATTACTGCAAAGATTATGAAATGCAATGAATTCTTACATATATTAGGTCATACATTTATGAGGTCATGTTACCAGCTCCAGTCCTCACCACTTTTTCCTTTTCCCAAGTCAGAGTTCAGCCAGGTACCCACTCTGTGAATAGGTACATTTAAGAAGTTATTTTCACAGAATTCAGTCCATTGAAGATTAACAGTCTAGCAACTAATCCTTATGGATATTCACTAATTACTTATTATCATTGCCCTTTGGAAACAAGCAACAGAATCAGTGGAGAAACAAGATTATTATGGCCTGGAGAGAATGAGGCACCTGGCCAGCTCACTACACTCAGAGGAAATGCAAGACGGACATATAACCAAATTGTGGCCGGTACCATCAGTATTGGAACTCTGCACTGGCTGCTGAAGATGAGGACCGAGCACCCATGGCAATGCCCAGAGTACTGTAATGTCAACTCTTGACTTAACTTAACTCGATTCTTCTTATCATTATTCTTCAACATTCCAGTTTCCCCCACCTCCATTCATCTCTGTCATTGGCCATTTATTTCCAATTGGTGACTCTTGAGTGTTTGTAGTTCTGCCTGTATATTATCTCTCCATGGTCCTCTTAGTCTGTCTTGTGGTCTGATGTCATTCAAGTCTTTCGTATACACAGTTTTTGTCACTCTCATTTGCTTTCTGTCTGCATGCCCATGCATTGCAGTCCATTAGTCAGTAAATAGGGATGATTTAAGCACATCAAGAAATTGTTGTTGCTTCTGATGAATTTTAACTTGTTTGAGCTTGAAGTTTGAACAACAGATCAACATCATGGCACATGGGTAGTAACCCATAAGTGCTCCGTTCTTCTTCTAGCTCAAGTCTGAGTCCAAAAAAGCTCAGCACAGGCTCTGTAGCATCGGCAAGAATCCTGAAATACTTTGGGTGGATTTTTAACTCACAATTTTGCCCGGGCAGCGCCGTTAGGCTACTCTTTTCAATTTCCAACTGCCAAGGGATTTTTTACACGGGCGTCCGATCTTACTACTCAGAGACCAGGGAGAATTACTAGAAGTCCAAGTCCATGTTAAAAAATCTCAGCCCTTACCGGGGATTGAAACTGGAACTTCTAGCACTTGAGGCGGACACAATGCATCAAGACCATGCAGCTCCCTAAACTTTTTTTAATATAATAAACTAATTAACATTTAATTTAGCAGTAATGCAAACTAAATGCTGACTTAATTAAAACGAAAATTATTAAACATCATTACATTAAATATTATGACAATAAACGTTGAAAATTTAAGAAAAAGAATTAGGAATTCTTCTAAAAATGAAATGTAAATAACCAGCTTGTAATGTAAATAATCAGTGAATATAAACGGATTAAATCTTGGCATATCACAAGCTGCTTTAAGTGGTACGCAGCATGGCAACAAATCAGGGTATTAGTCAGGCAATAAGTCAGGGCTCCAGTTTAACTGTAGATAGGTCACTCCATAATTGCTCAGTTCCTATGCCTACCCCCACCCTGGTAAGGCCTCAGAAGCCACTTATAGTGAAGCACAAAATACAGTCATTTCACAATTTTTCAACGTCCACTTGGTTAGCTCCACTCTATTATCCCTGTGCGTAAAACAATGTATGGTGTCTTGTTATATTATTTACAATGCAACAGATTGCTTTGCATTGATTGTGACAGTAATATGGAATGCCAGCTGTTCAGATCCAATCGCAAACTACTAAATGCAAAGTCACCAAGAAAATTTACAAAACAGCCAAAACGGATGGAGTTGTTTCTGCAAAGATATGTAAAGGATGCACAGCTAAAAAAATTTTTTTTTAATAAGATAACGTCGCCCAAATTTGTCAGAAACCACATAAAATGGTTTACGTTTTGTTTAATGGAGTTTTACACATACTTAAATATTAAATTAGACATAATTTCGTAATTAATTTAGAATACTTTTATTTTATAGTATAAAATTATTATATTTTAAATTATGTATTATGGTACTGTATATTATATTTTACATACTTTTTTTTTTATTGAAGTAAGGGGCCCTTTATATGCCAGGGGTTTTGGAGACATATGATGCTAAACTAATATTTAAATAGACCAATCAGCACTCACTTTGTGAATTAATCTTCTTCTTTGTTCGCTGACTGTGAGCTCCGGTAGAAGGTCTTGGTTGTTTGTCCATTTTGACTTTGGCCTTGTACCAGGGTCTGAGTTGTTTGTGCATCAATTTTATTTGATAATTTGTGTACATGTGGTTTGTTCCTTGCCGCTCTGTCAAGCACTCCAACTTCAAAGAAAGCTCCTAATTAGTCAACTGTTGAGACATGCTTTTTTTAAATAAATATTTTTGTTAGACAGTGGGTGTGTTCGTCGCATTTTCTCCACTTTGGGGTCCCAGCAACCACCTGGCGAGGTGAATTTTTCAGTATCATAACTTCTGCCTTTACATCACAGAATTCATCTTAAGCTGGTCAACCTGGGAATGTTATATTATACTTTATTGAATCATATTTTTATTACACTTTAAATTTTTGTTGTATTTTTTATTATACATTAAATTATTGTGTTATATTATATTATACTTTAAATTTTTATATTGAAATTATACTTTAAATTATTGTATTATATTATGCTTTAAATTATTGTGTTGTCTTATACTTTAAGTTACTGTACTATATTATACTTTAAATTATTGTATTATATTATGTTATACTTTCAGTTATTGGTTATAGTATTTTTTTTTTGGTGGGGGGGGGGGGGGGGGCGGCCATGTTAGCATGACAGATAAATGTGTGCCTGTTGGCCTAAAGGGTTTGGTTTCATATCTACACCATGAGGGAGTAGCAGTGGTGTAGTGGCTAGAGGCTCGCCTGCAGATCAGAAGGTTGTGAGTTCGCTCCCTGTCGGAACCAGACTTTTTTTTTTTTAATGACCTTGACTCCCAAGTTGACCCAAGCCTTGAGTGGGTACCGGGTGCAGTCCCAGGAAGTAAAGGTGGCCGGCCAGATGCTGACCACATCACCCATCTTGTGCCGATTGGTCTGTAAAAATATAGGTCTAGCCCTATATGCCCTATACTCCTAAAGGCGTGGAAAAGGGACCTTTTTTTTTTTATCTACACAAGGCAGACTTCATTTTTTTTTAAAGTTAAAATGACCACATCTTTCAGGTTAACAATCTTAAATGAGTACCAGGTAATATCTCAGGAAGTAAAAGCAGTCATAATGATGATGCTGACCATATCACACTTCGAAAGCCAATAGGTCTATAAAAATTAGAGCCTAACATCATTTGTCCAAAATGCCAGTGTCCTAACAAGGGCCTTGTACTTTACTTTTATATATGCAGTGGAAATTCAGGATTCAAGTTTTTCTGGATATAAATTTTTCAGGAAATTAGAGTTTTACTTGCTCTAGAGGTTCCGGTATGTATAGGTAGAGGTAAACAGTCTTCTCCACTCTTTTTGTTTCTGTAGATTTTGAAATGTTCAGCAGTTTTAGAAATGTTATGGCAGCTTGTTAAGTGTTAATGCAGCTCTGAAATGTTACTGTGAATTGTGAAATGTTATATATCACTTTAGCTTTGAAATGTGAAATCATAGTTTTCTTTGATAGTCAGCCTTTGACGACAATAAAATACTTCAGATCTGCGGAGAGGTTTGAGGTTTAAACAGTGGATAAATATCATGGCACACAGGCTCTGCAGCACCGGCGAGGATCCTAAAATATTTTGGGTAGATTTTTTAACTCAAAATTTTGCCCGGGCAGCGCCGTTAGGCTACTCTTTTCGATTTCCAACTGCCAAGGGATTTTTTACGTGCGCAACAATGCACAGGAGCATCTGATCTCACTTCCCAGAGACCGGGGAAATTAACAAGAAGTCCAAGCCCATGGGAAAAAATCCCAGCCCTTACAGGGGATTGAACTTGTGGAGTGACTGGAAATGAGAAAGCTGATCAACTGGCATGGGAAGGTGCGACAAAAGTGCAGCCAGATGTACCAGTCGCATACCACCAAAAAAAAAAAAACATTAAATTGATCAGGAAACCACCAGCCCCAGCACAAGACAACTATTTTTTTATGGACAGACCAGAACAAGTCAGAACAGGGCACAACCACAAAATTCAAGATAGGTGTATCAGCCATGTGCACCTGTGGAAATGTGCCCCAGACAGCAGAGCATGTACTCCAGGACTGCACCGATTTTGGCACATTAAGGCAAACCTTTTGGCCAGAAAGAACAACAGTGGAACGTTAACTCTATGGACCACTGAATGAACTAACAACGACAGTGAAACTTATACAAGAGACAAAATTGCTGATATAGATAACTTATTTCAGGCGAACGAAAGAAGAAGAAGAACTTGGAACCTCTAGCACTCAAGGCGGACCACAACACAACATGCCACCACCCTTTTTTTTAGAGTGAACACAGAAAAAATTCCTCACTACCTATGATACAGAATTATATTGGTGAATAACATTTCGTGGAAACACAATGAATACATAACCTCACACCATACCTCACAGATAATGTATCTTTTAATATTTATAATCTCATGGTCTCACCATGGAGACAGTGTGAAAGTTCATGGAAATATATGTCCATGGATTTATAGTAGATGTTACATTTCTATATAATAAAGATTTAACAATATCTAAATATATTGTTTATGATTTCAGAAGTATGTAGTTTACCTTTCTTACTTTTAAATATAATTGATTTTGGTTTCTTCACGTTTCAAACTTGCCTTTGATCAGTTGATTTGAAAAAAAAACATTATTTTTTATGCTTTAGGCCTCGGGCATTCTAATTTTTACAGACCATTCTGTGGACCAGCATTACGCCGGTAGTTTCCCAGGACAGCCCATCCTGGTACCCATTTTAGGCTGGGTCGACCTGCGACATCCCATACTTAGCCTCTTCTAATTGCTTGTGGACCCATGGTAGTAGTTTGGGTAGAATGCTTGCCTGTTAGCTCTGTGATTGTTAGTTTAAATCCAAATTAAGGTGGGTTTTTAAATTCATCAGTGCTCACAGGTTTTCCAAGCCTAAAAATGAATACATGGAAATATTCTAGGCAGAGCTTTTTCTCTGATGGTATGCCAAAGTATGCAATTCCGGCACATTTTTTTTTTTCAGATATCATTTTGTTTTCCATGCTACTGAACAGGAGCCGCCCTAGTGTAGCAGATAGACACCTGACTGCAGGTCTGAAGGCTGTGGGTTCGGGTGCAGACGGAGCTGAATATAAAAGTGCATGAGGCGGGAAATTTTTTAATTTTTTTTATTTTTATAATTCTTTTTTTTTCAGGCAGACTATGATGAGAGCGACCTCTACAAAAGACCTGCTACATGATGATGATGATGTACGTTGGCAATTTTGAATTATCCTTCAGCTGTCTAATAGCTATTCTTTAAAAATATTAGAAAATTTAAAAAAATTAAAAGCCTCCAACCCATCTTCCTAAACTTGAGTCCATGGTTATTTCTCGCTTTTATGTTATCCTTGTTTATAACCATACAGCCATAATGGGGAAGATAAGAGTACTGAAGTGTTCATTGTTCATTTTAGAGATCGTCTTCATCGCACATCAGCCATGACCATAAGTGCTCCAGTCTCCTCCTAAGTTTGTCTCCATGGTTTTTTAGGCTAACAACTCCCATCCTATTCTGGCTGATATAACAAACAGATGCCTCCTGCATGGTTTTCCTGTCTCGCAGCTCCATTTGGAGGGTATGCATGCAGTCTATTCATTAAAAATTATTTCTCTAGAAAACTGAAAACCTTGCAGTGTTTAGTCTCTCGCATGGCAGTGATGATGTCTTCTCCTGCCCATAGAGGGCCTATTCCTGGTAGTCCCAGTGCCAGCCAGAGCGTCTGCTCTCTCATTGCCTTTCACACCAGCATAACCTTGGACAAAAGTGAAGGTGATTTTTGCAAAATGCTGCATGCTGTATCAGATGGAGTCACCACCTCTGTAGGTACCCTGCCTTGCGCCTTGATCTTATGTAGCATGCTCATTATGAAGTGTTATGTTAAACCAGTGCTGCTGCAGAGCTGTCAATCTTGGGATGTGAATGGACAATTTAGGGATAGCTTTGAGACTGTGGAGGCGTGGTCTCTGAGATGCATCCTGCAAATACCGTGGACAGTCAGGGTAACTAACTGCAGCTGTCTGCAATGGGGCTAATGAAATTAGAAAACTATGTACAAATCTTTTTTTAAAATAGTCGGTGCTCTTCATGTGGGTTACGGGCCTTCATTGTGTGTGTGTGCGTATGTGTTAGTGTGTATGTGGAGTGTGTATGTGGGGGGGGGGGGGGGGGGGGAGAAAGCAGATCCACTGCCTCTCTAACAAGCATGTCATAAAAGTTGAGTAATTAAGGGTGTTTCCTTCGAAGTCAGAGGGCATCTTCATGAGTAGCAAGGAACCAACAGTCTGCATACAAATAAGCCAGATTTTTAAAATTGATGTGCACACAAAACATAACTTCTGGAACAAGACTAAAGTTCAGAAGTGGACGAACAACCAAAAATTTCTGCCAGTTTCCATCCGGTGAGCGTGAAGAAGAAAAGATATGATGAAAAGAAAGGTGTGACCAGAAAGATCAACAACAGTAGAAGAGGCAGAGTTATATCACGAGAAACGATGCCGGCTGGAAGCGATGACATGGAGGAATATCATCAGTGGAACTAATACAGAGTACGAAGGACTGCGATCTGCGGAGAGACATGAGCGCCTAAACCACTCAACAGGGCACACGGTGATGACAGTTGTTTGTCACTTCGTAGTTTGTATTTATTCACATAATAAGGTAGCCAATTCCAAGTCATCTTTTACGGCATTCATGGAGTGACCATACGTCCTCTTTTTCGCCTGGACAGCCCCCTTTATAGGGGGTGCCTGGGCTGTAAAGTCGGTACTCAAACAACAACTCGCTCCCCCCCCCCCCCTCCCCCGTTATAAAAATTTAGAAATAAATTCTTCAGATAAATTAGTTCCCTAATGGTTAATAATAATAAGTGAAGGTTCCTTTTCCAGGCCTTTAGGTTTATTGGCAATATAGGGCTAGATCTATATTTTTGTAGACCAATCGGCACTTGGTGGGTGTTGTGGGCAGCATCACGCCGGCCGCCTTTGCTTCCCAGGACTGCACCTGGTACCCACTAAAGGCTTCGTCGACCTGGGAGTTAAGGTCATTTTTTTAAGAAAAAGTCCGGCTTCGTCTGGATGCGAACCCGCGACCATTCGATCCGCAGGCGGGCGTCTAGGCGCCAACGCCACGGCGACACTCAGTTATTTTTTGTGGGGGGGGGGGGGGGGAGAGAGAGAGAGAGAGAGAGAGAGCTGTGTTAAATTGACTTGCTTGGGATTTTCGTTTTCAGTTACTATTCGTTACTATTCTTGGCCTTCCGTTAGGGCCCTGGTATCATGCGGCGGCGTACTCAACAGTTCCCTAAAGAGGTAAGGCATGAAATTGGGGTTTATATTGTTAGCTCCATGAATCCAGACGTGAAGGGGTAGATAGGTATAATTTGTTAATTCGGAGTTTGTAATCTACAGGAATAACACCTCAAGGACGAGAATCAAACATGTACAATTCCCGAAGTCCCGTTTAATCTCATAGCAGTTATACTTAGGGCCTACAACGGCAACACTCTAGCCCGATGTTCATACCAGGGCTGTCGAAATTTGTTGAGAATAGCACAATTTATTTTTTAAATGAAAAGGTACCAAACATACTCTAAGGATACAAATTGTAATTTTTAATTAAAACCTCGTTAAATATTTTCTACACACACACAGAGAGAGAGAGAGAGAGAGAGAGAGAGAGAGAGAGAGAGAGAGAGAGAGAGAGAGAGAGAGAGAGAGAGAGAGAGAGAGAGAGAGATACACACACGGGAAACAGAAGGAACATGGAGACTATGGGAATGAGAAGAAGAAGAGACGTAAAGCGTAAAGGCGATCTTTTGATTTTAAGACATGTAAGGGAGGATGTAAATTCGAGACATTGCTACGATGGAGACTCAAGCAGGTATGTGAAACCCAGGCTGTGATAGACAGAGGACGATTACAGCTAGGACGATGTATATTCTTGTGGTCTTGTTTGATTTATGTATGTGCGAATGAAGGCTCTATAACCGCAACGTTCCCGTTTCATTTGTGTTTTTTTTTATATTGTGAAGCTTGCGGACTTACTTTTCGTTCGGTTTTATATCTTTTCAGAATAAATATACTAGCAACTAGCCTACATCTTGTGTCACCGGGTGTTTATCGTTCGTAGTGCACCCGGGTGGGGTTAAACGTCACTCACTCATTCACTATTTGTTCCTTAATCACGCCTATTTTCAGTACACTTCCAATCACCTTGAAAGTTCAACACAATGTCAAAACATTGTTGCGAAATTTCTTTAACGTACCAAAACATTGGAGGTGGTATCTAAAGTAGTTTTGATCGGCAATAGTCAAACAGTAATACATTTGTATAAAACTTGGGCAGCCCTGGTCCGGACGGGGCATGGACTGTCTTACGGCAAGAGTTGAGCACCTTGTAGGACGGCAGCTTCCGCCATGGCAACGCTTAGCAACACTGTATACAAACATTGAGTGGTGTCTCTTGCCTAGAATATATCGCCAGCTTGCTCGGGAAAGGATTTCACGAGTTTGTAGACATGGAGGGTTTACCATTCCTGCCGGGAAACACTTTCCGCGATCCAACGGTTAGCATATTTTAGAAGTTCTTAATATCCGTTACTTATTTCTTCTTCATGAGTTCCTAAGTTATCAAGTACTACTTGAAGTAGGACATTGCAGTATTATTGCTTTGACTTTGTTAGAATAGTAGTAGTAGTTACAGTCCTCTACGTCATGTTTCTCAAACAATTTTTTTTTAAATATATATATATTTTAATCTGTCATAAATATAACACAGAGTGTATTGATATAACATACAGTATCAGTCAATCAGATGCTCGTTTGCTTCCTAATGTTTCCCTCCTGTATGGTTTATATATACGATGAGTGTTATGTGTTTTATTTTTAAAGTTGGCCAAATATTTCATTATTTCACTGGTCTCTTTAATTTCCTTCAGCAGCTATCACTATCATCATTTCTAGTCTTCACAGAACCTCTCTATTTTACTGTTTGTGTTTCCTGTAATTCAGAGTAATAATATATAATTATTATTTTAATAATTAATATAATAATTATTCAGTAATTTTAGACTAATACAGATATACTTTAGGTTAAATTATAAACTTGTGTTCAATGATCAGCTGTTTGTTTTTTGTGTTCTTCTGTGCTAATATTTCTCTCTTGAATTTTCTTTTTCATATATGGCTAATTTTTCGACACCATGCCTTCTATTGATAGGCCTCATTAATTTCATTTGACTTATGACTTTGATGTTTGTTACTGGATTATGTAATGCCAGCTTCTCTCAGTGTATTTGGGAGGGGGGAAGAAACTAATTGTCATATAAAATGTAGATTAATGTGTTCAACAGAAGTTCCAAATGTATTCATATTTACGTGTGCATGCTTGTGTGTATGTGTTGTTTTCCTTTAATTGCTATGTGTGTGTGTGTGTGTAAGAGAGAAACATAGACAGAGAGAGACACAGAGAGAGAGATCAGATTCTATTAAGCCACCATTTTTTTATCCACAGCAAATGAAATACCATGTCAACCAGACCCTGAGCTACAAAAATGGCTACCGTACATCAGCACGGCCAGACATTGGCATTGGTGGAACTCAGCTTTTTTATAATCAGCTGTCCGAGAATGAGTTGGACACCCTGGCCAACTTCAACCCAGTCTTGACCTATGGTCAAGCTAAACAAGCCCCACCAGCTGCCTTTGTTCCATCCCATGTTCACTGGGACAAGAAGGTAAAAATAGTTTACTGACATCATTCAATCAGTCAATTGGTCAGTCAATCAGTCAGTTGATCAGTCAATCAGGTGTTGTCTCAATAATGAAGGTCAACTGCAGTCGATCTCCAACACTCCATGTTTCTTGGGGAATAAAGCACATTAAAAATAAAGTTAGCGGTACCAACCACATAGTGTCTACTAAAGTAACGCTGAAAAATATACAACAACAAAAAGTACTAGTACTGCATAATGTTTTTGTACTGCCACAAAAAAAAAAGTCCTTATAATAATACTAATAATAATAAATAGCAGCAGTGGAAGAAGAACAAGAACATGAACAGCTCTTTGATGCTGTCATGTGTTACTATTTTTGGAATAAACATGTCATTTTCTTACTTGTTCACAAATACAAAATATTGTACCTTTTATTTCTGTGTAAAAGATGACCACTATTTTTTTAGCTAAAAGTTTGGAAATAAATATTTTAAACAAATATTCTGTATATAAGGCGACTCTCAATTTTAAACTTAAATAATTTTGGGAAAATATTATCTTATGCACAGAAAAATTCAGCATTCTATAACTCTTCTTTTCACCATCCCAGTTTCATGATTTGTTTTGTTTTTTTTGTTAATAGTATGCTCTCTTGGAATACTTTTCATTCATCTCTTAATGTTGTCCTGCAACGTGTCTCATTGTTTACCTCTTATTCTCTAGTCTTCAACTTTTCCCTACAGTGAGATTTTTTAAAATGTTAAATCTTTTACTGTGGCCGAAATATTTTACTTGTCTCTTGTTGTTCCTTTTACAACTTTTTATTTCCACTCCCTCAATAACCTGTACCTTGGTATGCTCTGTAGCAAATGATCATTGGGTAGTTCTTACTTTATAGCATTATCATTATGGGCCAATTTGGTAACAGTCCTTAAATAACATATTCTATTTTAACAATTATTGTTTGTTTTTAAATAACATGTTCTATTTTAACAATTTTTGCTTTCTTCATTTACATCCCCTTATGGGCTCTGGAGCCCCATTTGGAGGAAGGGGGGAACACATGTTGTAAAAATTGACTAATCAGGTGTTTTTTTTATTCCAAGTTGGAGAGCATCTGCCTGAGAGGTGAGGAGGTGACAGTGTGTTTACACATAAGCCAGATCTACGCACACACACAAATTGGATGAGCATGCAAAACTCAAGTTCTGGAATTAAAGTCCAGAGGCAACCAGAAGTTTCCACCTGAGTTTACAGCCAGTGAATGAAAAAAGAGGAAGATTGGTTTTAAATGAAGACCATCATTATATACCTTTTCCACATATTAAAGTGTAACAGGTGTATGATACCGCATATTTTTACCAAGCAGCTGGTACTCAGTGTCTGTACTTACAAGAACTTTTCCTGAAACCCATTTTAGTTTTAGTCGAGTTGAGTCAAGAATTGACATCGCAGAACTCGGGGCATTCCCATGTATGCTCCTTCCTCATCTTCAGCAGCCAGCGCAGAGTTCTAATACTGATGGTACCGGTCACAATCTGGTTAAAAGTCTGTCTTGCCTTTCCTTTGAGTGTAGTGAGCCATCCAGACCCTCTGGTTACACCCAGGTTAGTTTTAGATCACTTGGGAGCCCATGCCAATGAAAAAAAAGTTAAACAACACCCTTTTTTGTTTTATTTTTTTTAGTGAAGATTATGTGATTTATGACAGTACATCTGTGTAAAGATGCTAAATCCAACCTTTTTTTTCTTTACTTAGTGTCCTTTGATATATTAACTCTTTCAAGTACAGAATATTTCATAGAAGATTTAATAGGTACAATGGCCATAATGTAAAGAGACATTAAATTATTACTTTAAAAAAAGCCAACCCATTCTATTAGTTTAAATATGAAGCCATGTTCTTTAGGATCATCATCATCAGGTGCCTTGCCGACTGGCGTAGGCAATCATGCGTCTCCACAATCGATGATTTCCTGCAGCATGTATCAGTCAGTGTGCCGAACACCTCCATGCCATGCATCAAGACTGTCAAGAATCTTCTCGTTGTCTTCCTCTATCCCTCCTTCCACAGATCTTTCCAGTGGTCACAACATGTTATAGTTTCCCTCTTCTCATAACATGGCCTAAAAATGATGACTGTCTTCTTCTGATGTATGTGATAGGTTGTCTTTAGCTCCCACCATTTTTAAAGCCTCTTGGTTGCTCTTTTTTGGCTGTCCATTGTATTTTAAGTATTTTTCTGTAAAACCACATCTTTGAGGCCTCAAGAAATTGTTTGGCCTGCCTACCGATTGTCCAGGACTCACATCCATATGTCAAGACTTTGATGTATGTAGCAAGCAAGAATTCTTTTTCTAACCTTCAATGACAGAGGCAAACTGCATAAGATGTTATTCATTTTATAAAATGCAGTTTTTGCCTGTTCTATTCTGTTTCTTATCTCAGTTATGCATCTTTTGGATACTGATACCAGATGTTAATTGTATAATAAAAACATCAAGCATTACATGGTAGAAATGGAGAACGACTGTCACACATATTACGTTCATTAGGACATTGAAAGTTAGAGTTCACATCTATTATTTTTTATTTTTAGAACAAGATCCAACTTTTAATCCCACATGACTACGCATTTCAGGATTTTTGTTGTCCAGTGTTTCTTCTAGTGCTAAATATTTAATCAGCAAAAAAGACTTAACCTTTCAGTCCCAGAAAACAGCACTTATTTTTAGAGGAAAATAGCCATAAATTTGAAAATAAATAAAAAACATGCATGTAGTATAATCTTTTTTTTTAAATTTAGTATTTTACGCTTGCAGGTGCTCAAATTTAGTGGTTATTTCAAAGAAACCGTTCATGAATCACCATCAGAATACTATCGTGTCCGTCCAGTTGATGTTTACTACTACCTAGAGGATGACAGTATCGCTGTCGTGGAGCCTCCTGTGCCGAACTCAGGGATGACACAAGGTAGGACAGTCATCATTTTCAATCCTGTATTTTTGTCTGGAAGAATGTTTATGTCTGGAAGAATGTTTATGTCTGGAAGAATGTTTATGTCTGGAAGAATGTTTGTGTCTGGAAGAATGTTTGTGTCTGGAAGAATGTTTATGTCTGGAAGAATGTTTGTGTCTGGAAGAATGTTTATGTCTGGAAGAATGTTTATGTCTGGAAGAATGTTTATGTCTGGAAGAATGTTTATGTCTGGAAGAATGTTTATGTCTGGAAGAATGTTTATGTCTGGAAGAATGTTTATGTCTGGAAGAATGTTTATGTCTGGAAGAATGTTTATGTCTGGAAGAATGTTTATGTCTGGAAGAATGTTTATGTCTGGAAGAATGTTTATGTCTGGAAGAATGCTTATGTCTGGAAGAATGCTTATGTCTGGAAGAATGCTTATGTCTGGAAGAATGCTTATGTCTGGAAGAATGTTTATGTCTGGAAGAATGTTTATGTCTGGAAGAATGTTTATGTCTGGAAGAATGTTTATGTCTGGAAGAATGTTTATGTCTGGAAGAATGTTTATGTCTGGAAGAATGTTTATGTCTGGAAGAATGTTTATGTCTGGAAGAATGTTTATGTCTGGAAGAATGTTTATGTCTGGAAGAATGTTTATGTCTGGAAGAATGTTTATGTCTGGAAGAATGTTTATGTCTGGAAGAATGTTTATGTCTGGAAGAATGTTTATGTCTGGAAGAATGTTTATAAGGATGAAACTGATTTATGATTAAGCACTACCAGGGTGGGCTAGACTGGAATTAGGTTAAGGTTAATGAGGTCAAGGTTAATGTTATTCTCCACCTGTTTCGGATATTTGTTTTCCAGGCTTTAAAGCATTTCGAGCAAATAGGGCTAGACCTATATTTTATAGACCAGTCGGCACAAAATGGGTGATGTGATCAACATCACGCCGGCCGCCTTTACTTCCCGGGACTGCACCTGGTTTCCACTCAAGGCTGGGTCAACCTGGAAGCCAAGGCCATTTTTGAAATGGAATTCATACGGGAAATTGGCATTCAGTAGATTATGTGGTCAACATTGTGTGGCCACTTTGACTTCCCTGGATATTCTCTCATATCCATTTTAGGCTAGGTCGACCTGAGAGCCCTAACCAGTTATTAACAAAATGCTCTCAATATTAGGATTCACCTTTTTCCTCACATTCACCGGCTGTTAACTCTGGCAGAAAGTTTGGTGTCCATCCACCTCCGGACTTTAATCGTGTTCAAAAACTTGAGTGTTGCATGCACATCCATTTCACACATCTGACTTATTTGTGTGCAGACTGCTGGTTCCTTGCCTATCAAGCAGATGTGCTCCAACTTCAAAGGATGCTCCCATTTAGTTGATCATATGTATGCTTGTTGAGGAGGCCGTAAGTCTATTCTTGTTTTCCCCATAGAGGGGCCCCGGAACCCACTCCGGGAGATATTAGGATTGAAACAGAAGATGATCATCTAACCACTGTGCCACCACAGCCCTCCCAGCACAATAACCAGTTTTCTTCATCTGGATTTAAGCCTCTAAGCCCAGCTTAATCAATTTCAGAAAATACTTAATTGATCATCTTTTATGACATACTTGTTAAAGGGTGGGGGATCTGTTTTTTTTTTTTCTCCGAAACGGAACCCTGCAACCCACATGAAAAAATGTTCAGCTGAAAAAAAAAACTGCTTTTAGTATACATAGGTTAACTTTACTTTGACTTTGCTCAATTATCAGGGAGACTGATCCGACGTCAGCGCTTACCCAAGAATGACCAAGGGGATATCTGGCACTGGAAGGACATCAACCTGGGAATGAACATCACCTTCTATGGAAGAAACTTTCACATCACCAGCTGTGACAAATTCACCAAGGTTTGTCTGTGTGCATGAGTGTGCATGAGTGTGCATGCGTGCATGTGTATTGTTTTAATTTTAATTTTATAGTTAAAATGAAATGATAAGGTATATTGGATATACTCTGCCATAAGAAAATTCCAGTCTATGGAAGAAACTTTCACATCACAAACGGTGTGACATGTGTAGGCAACCGTCAGTGCATAGGGGCCATGGAGTTGTGTCACTCATTTTGGAAATGTCCGCGTTGACTGTAAAGTCCAATATGGGAGTGGCAGTTTCTACCACATCATCATCATCATCACGTAACACTACGTGGGTCACCAGTTTCTGTTGACTGTCTGATCAGCTCTCTCCACCTTTGGCGGTCAGTTGCGATGGACTTCATGTTTGCATGCCTGAGGCCTGTCCAGTCAGTCAGGTTCTGTAACCAGGTCTTCCTTGGTCTGCCTCTTCTCCTCTTTCCCTCTACTGAACCCTACAGTATTTTTTTTTTTTTTTGAGAGGGCGTTAGATCTTATTACATGTTCATATCATTGTGTTTTTGCGCCCTTTTACTGTAGTTAAAAGAGGTTCATAGTTGCCATGTGCTGTATAATTATCCGGCAAACCTCTTCGTTTGTAATGTGGTCTCTGTATGATATGCCAAGAATTTTTCTGAAACATTGCATTACCAATGCATGTATCTTTCTTTCAAGTTCAGCTGTTAAAGTCCACGTTTCACAGCAATAAGTAAATATACTAATAGCTAGTGCTCTGAGCAATCGAATCTTAGTTTTGAATGAAATGTTTTTGGATCTCCATAATGTTTGCTGGTTGGCAAGAACTGATGTTGTCTGGGCAATCCTGGACATGATTTCTGGTCTTGAGCCAAGGTCACTTAAAATGAATCCTAAATATTTGAAATGGCTGACTTAATAGGTTACATAAAAACATGGATGCTCTATTATACTAAGATGGTTTTGTTTCAGATATCTCTCTATGGCTTGCTGTATTTGGTTTCTTGCAAACAATGACAGTCCGTCTTTCGCTGTCTGCCGGCACAGAGTTGGCCTGCAACTGATCTTTCCCAAGTGTCTGTGTCAATTTTGGTATCTTTCAGGTCACATTTGAATGTGTCACAATTTGTAAACTGTAACAAATTCATTAAATAAAATTAAATAATAATGTACACGTAGGTTGGGGCACTGGAATCTAGGGGTTAAGGCCCCTTAAACCCCCTCCCCCCCACCCCACCCCACCCACAAGAAACCCCCCACCCCTAAATTTGTAAGAGAGAGAAAAAGAGAACATCCAAGAAGACATCCATTAAGAAGAACATTATAAGAGGCAAAAAATGCTGAACTGAATTGAGAAAAATGCAGGCAATAGAGCAGAATGGAGGAATCTAATGTGAGCTCTCTGCTACATCTAAAGGATAATGATGATGATGTTTTCCATATCATAGCACTGAACTGTCGGATATTCTCTTTCTTTGTCTCCCCCACCTTTTCCGCTGCTTCAACATGCTGATTGTAATCATGCACTCCAGTTTTACCCTTCTCAATACATGCTCAGAAAATTTGGATTGTCTGCTTCTAATACAGGTAATCATTTCTCTCTGTGACCTAATTTCTTTCAAAACATCTTCATTACTAACCTGCTTATCATCATTACTATCATATTGTGCCATTGCATGTCACATAGGACTTACAGTTCATTCCACTTCTCCATTATATCCTTTGCAATCACTTCCATATCGTAGATGGAAACCAGTCCTGCACTTCTGGCCTTATCAACATTTGCCTAATGGTTTCTCTTGTCCTTGTTTTCTCAATCCCTCTGTTTCCTGAATGTGTCCAATATGGTGCTATCTTCTTTGTCTTAAAACTGATGCTAATAAAACTTCTTAAAACCTAATGTATTAATATTTATCAGGACTTTTTAGAAAGTGAAGGCATCATTGTGAATGAACCGGAGTCCATTCCCGGTGATCCTTACCTGGCAAAGAGGACAGGTACTTCAGCCCTCAAAACATCCAAGACTCAGTCATCTTTCGACAAACTACGGCAGTTTAAAGAGCTCGACCGCAAAGTTCTCAGATTTTACTGTGTTTGGAATGATAGCGAGAACATGTTTGGAGAAGTCAGGCCATTTGTCATTCATGTGAGTATGGATACACAGCTTTTTAGGTTTTTTTGTTTATTTGTTTGTTGATGAATTCTTTGAAATTCCATATGGACTGAAAGGGATTCGGTCAAGGCTACTTGTGTTTACTTATCTGGTATTCTTATATTTTATTGCCGCCAAACTCCAACATAGTAAAAAAAACAAAGTAAAAGACTCTTGTCAGGCCACTATTGCATTGGGTAAATGGTGATGTAAAACCATTTTTAGGTACCGATTAGCACACCATTGATCACTGACATCATGAGAGCTAATAGACTGAAATGGCTGGGGCATATTGAGAGAATCAGATGACAAAGAAGTAAAAACTGTATACACAAGGGAGCTGAAAGGTTGTAGACCACGAGGCAAACCAATAAGATGATGGAGAGAGAATATCCAGACAGACCTACAAACACTTGGTTTCAGGAACTATAAAGAAAAGACCAACCAGAGAGATTGATGGAGATGGGTGATATCTGCAGCAATGAAACTAAAGGGCTCATAATATTGAAGAGGAAAAAGAAGAATAAAGCTGGCATGGAACAAAGCCAGAAAGAAAACTGCACATAAAGAAGTCTTTCGATCTCTCTGGCAAACCTCTACACCACAAGATAGAAGAGAAGTGACTAAATAAGTAATTATAGACCAGTTTGTGCTGGCCACCACTTTACTTCCCATGACTTCTTCTTTTTCCATGCGTTTCCTGGCTGTGAACTTCAGCAGAAAGTCCTTGGTGTTCGTCCACTTTAAGACTGGTCTTGTTCCAGTAAGTAAGTTTTGCTGGCATGTCCGTTAAACAGATCTGGCTTGTTGGCATGTATATGTAGACAGTAGGCTCTTGACTTCGGCAGATTTACTTCAATTTCAAAGGAAACACGCCGAAACTAGTCACCTTTTTATGATGTGCTTGTTAGGGGAAGTGGGTCTGTTCTTCTTTCCCACAATTGGGGCCTGGAACTCAAATATGAACTCATTAGAAGACATTTCCTCATACCCACAGGAGAAGAAAAGGACAGACCCACAGGAGAAGAAAAAATTAACTCACAGGAGAAGAAAAAATTAACTCACAGGAGAAGAAAAAATTAACTCACAGGAGAAGAAAAAATTAACTCACAGGAGAAGAAAAAATTAACTCACAGGAGAAGAAAAGAACAGACCCACAGGAGAAGAAAAGAGCAGACCCACAAGAAAAGAAAAGAACAGACCCACAGGAGAAGAAAAGAACAGACCCACAAGAAAAGAAAAGAACAGACCCACAGGAGAAGAAAAGAACAGACCCACAGGAGAAGAAAAGAACAGACCCACAGGAGAAGAAAAGAACAGACTCACAAGAGAAGAAAAGAACAGACTCACAAGAGAAGAAAAGAACAGACTCACAGGAGAAGAAAAGAACAGACCCACAGGAGAAGAAAAGAACAGACTCACAGGAGAAGAAAAGAACAGACCCACAAGAGAAGAAAAGAACAGACTCACAGGAGAAGAAAAGAACAGACCCACAGGAGAAGAAAAGAACAGACTCACAGGAGAGAAAAGAAACTCACAGGAGAAGAAAGAACCCCACAAGAGAAGAAAAGAACAGACTCACAGGAGAAGACAGACCCACAAGAGAAGAAAAGAACAGACCCACAGGAGAAGAAAAGAACAGACCCACAAGAGAAGAAAAGAACAGACCCACAAGAGAAGAAAAGAACAGACTCACAGGAGAAGAAAAGAACAGACCCACAGGAGAAGAAAAGAACAGACTCACAGGAGAAGAAAAGAACAGACCCACAGGAGAAGAAAAGAACAGACCCACAAGAGAAGAAAAGAACAGACTCACAGGAGAAGAAAAGAACAGACCCACAGGAGAAGAAAAGAACAGACTCACAGGAGAAGAAAAGAACAGACCCACAAGAGAAGAAAAGAACAGACTCACAAGAGAAGAAAAGAACAGACCCACAAGAGAAGAAAAGAACAGACTCACAGGAGAAGAAAAGAACAGACTCACAGGAGAAGAAAAGAACAGACCCACAGGAGAAGAAAAGAACAGACCCACAGGAGAAGAAAAGAACAGACCCACAGGAGAAGAAGAAGAAAAGAACAGACCCACAGGAGAAGAAAAAACAGACCCACAGGAGAAGAAAAAACAGACCCACAGGAGAAGAAAAAACAGACCCACAGGAGAAGAAAAAACAGACCCACAAGAGAAAAAAATTACAGACCCACAGGAGAAGAAAAGAACAGACTCACAGGAGAAGTAAAGAACAGATCCACTGTGCCCATAACGAGCGTGCTGTAAACGGTGACTAATAGGAGTTTGTTGCAATCAGACCTGTTGGGAAAAAAAGGCAAAGATACTGCAGCCTTGCTGTAAATCACAGTACAGTGTGCAAACTGCCCTTTTAAGGTTGAACAAGGAATAAGAAGAAAAAAAAACTATGAAAAAATGGAGCTGTTACTAGATACCCAATTTGCCTCACTGACAAATCCTTAATAGCTTGATATGTTTTCTTTACATCAAAGCCAAATGTTTAAATTGTAACCAACTGATATATTTCAGTACTACCTTGTGGATGACACACTGGAAGTTAGAGAAGTTCACCAACCAAATAACGGCCGAGACCCATTCCCTGTTTTGATTGGACGGCACAGAGTTCCTAAAAACAGATTTGCTGTCCCACCGTCTTTCCCAAGCATTGTGCTGGAGCTGTCTGAACAAGAAATGAAAGACTACATCACACCGAAAGATTTCCGTGTAGGCAAAACGGTTACAATTTATGGCAGACCGTTTCTGATCTACGACTGTGATAACTTCACAAAAGGCTTCTACTACAACCATTTTGGAATCACTAATTTTGATCCCATTGAAGTAAAAGGATTGACCAAACAGCTTCCAAAAATGGTTTGTAATATTTGATTTTTCATTTATTTGTTCTTATAAATTGTATTCAGTATTTGACTTTTCATTTATTTGTTGTTATTATAAATGGTATTCATTATTTGACTTTTCATTTTTTATGAAAATGGTATGCAATATTTGACTTCTCATTCCTCTTTTTCCCCGTGTGGGTTCCAGGGCCCTGTTATAAGGAAAACAAGAATAGACCCACTGGGTACCAAAAAGCATGATGAAGAGTCGACTAGTCGGAGTGCATCTGCCTAAGAGTCTTGGAACCAGCAGTCTGCTTACAAATGAGCCAGATCTGTAAAACGGATGCACATGCAAAACTCAGGTTTTGGAACAGGACTAAAGTCCAGAAGAGGATGAACAACCAGAACTTTTTTTCCAGAGTTTACAGCTGGTGAACGCGAAGAAGAAGAAAAAGAAGATTCCCTTTGTGTGTGTGTGTGTGTGTGTAAATGATATGCAAAATGTGACTTTTCATGTTTTTGTTTTTATTTGTGATTGGTATTCAGAATTTGACTGACTTTTCTTTTTTTTTTGTAAATAGTATGCAGTGTTTCAACTTCCATGTATTTAAAGGTTTTGGAGGAGGGGGCAATAAACTCCCCAAAATACAAATTTCAATATTTGACTTTTCTTTTCTTTGTTTTTGTAAATTTGCTAAATTTTGAGTGGTATGTTCACATTCAGGCGGGTGCCTAGTTGAAATAAAGGATGTTTCCAGGTTCATTCTGTACATACTTTTAAAGATCTAACCTGAATAATTTAATTAATGAATTGTTTCTTCCACAATGAAGGTTGGCTGCAGTTATCTCCAACAATCTCTCTTCCACAAGAAATCAAAACTGCTAAGCCTTTTTCATACAATAATAAGAAGCTATTTGAATATTATCTCATTGCAGACGACATAAACCCTTCGTCATCTTCATAAAGCAGGTCCTTTGCAGAACCTCGCTCTCATGACGCTCTGCCTGAAAGAAACTCTGTTTCTCACCAGATCTCCTCCCTTTTGTACTTTCATATTCAAAGAGTCACTTATATCTTGTGCAAAACTTCATGTTGAACGGCCCCTGCTCCTCCTTCCTGTACCATGCCTTCTGCTAATATTTGTTCTAATCCCCCTTGACACTTGATATGACCCAAATATTTCAGTTTATGAGAGAAGATGCTGTTTATTAGCCAATCTTGCTTGATGTTCAGATCTGTTAAAATGTCAGTATTTCTTCTTTTCTTTGTCCATAGTATTCTAGACAAAGAAAAGAAGAAATACTGACATACAACCTTACATTAATTAATAGAGTTTTTCTTGTTTAAAATGTAAACATAATTTTAGTACATTCCAGTGCTTGTAATCAGTATTTGATTTGATTTGATTCAAGAACCGGCATCACAGCACTCTGGGCATTTCCATAGCGCTCCGTCCCAATCTTCAGCAGCCAGTAAAGAGTTCCGATACTAATGGTGCCAGTAGCATTCTGATTAAACGTCCGTCTTGCCTTTCCTCTAAACCTCGAGCATCTGCCAGAACCTCTCATCACTCCCCTCTGCATTAATCTCACAAGACTATGGTGATTCATCTGCTCCTCTAAACAGTGCATGCTCTTCCACAAGGCACTAACCACGTCTGCCTTATCATGTATCAGTATTCCACCAAGTTGTGCAGAGCCAGCCAGTCTGTCTACCTGTTCATTTCTTAACACACCGGCATGCCTTGGTGAAAAAATCCAGACAATACTCCTCACCCATATCCTCTGCAGCGAAGCATGCCACTATGCACGAAGCATGCCTGTCTTGATCTTCCTCAGCATGCTTTCTGAGTCAGTTACAAACACGATGTGTGTGTGTGTGTGTGTCATGTTCTCTAACCAGCAGAAAGCTTCAGTGACCTCTTCCACCTCCATTTCTAAGCTGAATGTTGTGGTATCATATGCTTGGCTCTCCTGCACCAAACGTTTACCATTAACTTTTGCTAAGAAACCCCAAGCACTTCTTTTGCCTCTTGAAACTGAACCGTCTGTAAATATTGTAATTAATATGTAGTTGTCAATTTTGTTTATTAATACCTATTACAAGACATGGAAATGAAATATGTACAACAGGAGTGACGCAAGAAGAGTACAATATTAGACTGGCCTTAGTGGCCAATTCTCAACCCCTTTGAAAATAAAGTCTTTCATTCATTCATTTGATCTGTTTCTCACCGTAATAGTAAATTTTGATAGACTGCTTTCCTCCGTTTGATATCTTCTCACTTGTATCGCTCTCACATTCCTGCTCACTTGATTATAGTTTTCCTTCCAGTATAAATTGTTGAGCGTTTTTTTTAAATTTGTCGTTGTATGTGATCAAAATATTTAATTTTTTTAAACAATTTCAGTTGGTTGACTGGAATGGTGAGTGGATGGCTGGTTGACTGGAATGGTGAGTGGATGGTTGGTTGACTGGAGTGGTGAGTGGGTGGTTGGTTGACTGGAATGGTGAGTGGATGGTTGGTTGACTGGAATGGTGAGTGGATGGTTGGTTGACTGGAATGGTGAGTGGATGGTTGGTTGACTGGAATGGTGAGTGGATGGTTGGTTGACTGGAATGGTGAGTGGATGGTTGGTTGACTGGAGTGGTGAGTGGGTGGTTGGTTGACTGGAATGGTGAGTGGATGGTTGGTTGACTGGAATGGTGAGTGGATGGTTGGTTGACTGGAATGGTGAGTGGATGGTTGGTTGACTGGAATGGTGAGTGGATGGTTGGTTGACTGGAATGGTGAGTGGATGGTTGGTTGACTGGAATGGTGAGTGGATGGTTGGTTGACTGGAATGGTGAGTGGATGGTTGGTTGACTGGAATGGTGAGTGGATGGTTGGTTGACTGGAATGGTGAGTGGATGGTTGGTTGACTGGAATGGTGAGTGGATGACTGGTTGACTGGAATGGTGAGTGGAGGGCTGGTTGGTCAGATGAATGATTTGCTTGGATGGTTTGGGTAAATAATGGTTGATTTGATGGGTGGTTTGTTGGATAGCTGGTTGATTAGATGTTGTTGGGTTTTTGTGTGTGTGGATGGATTGTTTGATTAAATGTTTAAAACTTTGATTGGGTGGGTGGATGGTTGGTTAAATGGTCAATGAGGTGGATGATTGGATAATGGTTGGTGTTTGGTTGGGTTTTAGAGTGGGTTGGCCTGTAAGCTTTAGATCAATTATAAAAATCTACAACACTGAGGATTTGAACCTAAGACTTTTGGGTAGGCAGGCAAGTAAATCATATACAGTAGCTATGTGAAAGGATAACATGTTTAGTTTTTGTGTGATCCTTGTGAGTTTGATGTATTTCTATACAGGAAATCTCTGAGTATAACCAATTTGGATCAGTTGAAGACTCACTGCAGTCCTGCAACAGCCTTGTTCCTCAGCCACCGAAGAAAGACTTTGTGAAAATGATGGAGAACGACCACAATGAGCTGAGATTTGAAGCCGTAATGGTTAGTTTTTGAGCTCTTCTTCTTATTATTTTTAGCTTACACCAGTTGTAAACTCCAGTGGAAAGTTCTGGTTGTTCATCCACTTCTGGACTTTGATCTTGTTTCTATAATTGAGTTTTGTGTGCACATCCCTTTTACATATCTTTCTCATTTGTATGCAGAGTGTTGGTTCCTCACCTCTCTGGCAGGTGCACTCTGACTTTGAAAGAAACGACCCTAATTAGTCAACTTTTGTGACATGCAGTGGGTCTGTTAGAGGGCAGTGGGTCTGTACTCCCCCCCCCCCCCCCCCCCCCCCCCCGATGGGGTCCCAGAAGACACAAAGATAGTTTTTGGTCTCTGTTATATTCTTGTTCCCTCATGTGTTGAATATGTGGCTCACTGTTATAGAAGTTAGCAAATTTTACAATTCACAAGGTATTAGAGCTTGATTTCTGTGGCAGGTGGTTTTGAAGAAGACCATTCTTGTGGTTTGTGTGGCATTGGTAAGAGAGTCCCATTGTGGAAGAGACAAGCCTCACTAAATAAAATTTCTAGTGTGGATTCCGTGGCCCCATTTTTAAGGGCAAAACATTTTAATAGATCAACTGCCTTGTATAAAGTATGTTGTAACAGCTGACTAACTATGGGTGTTTCCGTCAGAGTGCATCTACCTGAAAGTCAAGGAACTGGCAGTCTGTGTACAAGTACGCCAGATCTGTGAAATTGAAGTACGTGCAAAACTCAAGTTTTGAAACAAGATTAAAGTCTAGAAGTAGATGAACAACAACCAGGACATGTCATCGTAGTTTACAGCCTGTGAACATAGAGAAGAACAAGATTACACGATATTCCTAAAGACAACAGTGGATCTATTATAGCCAGTCTTCGTTGTGTTTATTTAAATTTAAAAAAAATTTTGGTGCCATTACACAACATGTACAGATCACAGTCTTGTCCTCCATCCATTCAGGCCTGTTTGATATTCTTGATATCACACTTGCCACCTTTATTTCCCAGTAATTTAGCTGGTGTTAAGGAAATTATGGCAGACCCAAAAATACACAAGGAGAAGGGAGCTAGAGAGTAAAGTTAAAAGATGAGGAGGATGTGAGGTGAGCTGCAGTCGGTAGAGAAGGATAGTACAACCTATGCTTCATTAGGGGACAGAAGGCAGAAGAGGACCTCCCACTTTAGGCTGGGTCAACCTGGAAGCCAAGGTTATTCTTTTTTTTTTTTAATTCTGAACTTATGCAAATTTGAACTTACGACCTTTGGACAAGCAGGTGAGCATCTGCTGCTACCCTACGATGGTTTCATATGTGTGTGTGTGTATGCGTATGTTTGTGTGTGTGCCTGCCTGCGTGTGTGTGTGTTTGTGTAAACATAGTGTGTGGTGGGGGTGGGGTGCTAAAGAGAAGAATTTGAAATTAAAGGATGACTCACAAAAACAGCTTAAATTACTGTTTTGTAGGATTCTGCAAGACCAGAAGACAGAGGCCGTCGCTTTATCATATCTTACAGACTGGCAGATGACATGCTGACCATTTTTGAGCCACAAGCAAAAAACTCTGGCATCATTGGAGGGAAATTCTTGGAAAGGACTAGAGTTGCCAAACCTGGATCCACTGCGGAGAAACCCAGTTTTTATGGGCCCCAAGATTTTTACATTGGAGCTGTCATTGATATTTTCAAGCATCGGTTTATCATCACAAATGCAGATGCCTATGTCTTGAAGTTTATAGAGCAGCACAAAGACCAGTTTCCAGGTGAGTCCCTTGGTCTTGTCTGTGTCAGTAAGTAAGTAAAGGACCCTTTTCCTTGTCTATACTGATGGTTCGGTGTTGAGAGGAAAGAGATGTGCCTGGGGGTTTGTAGTAAAAGCCAATGGCAAATCTTGAGTGCCAGACAGCCTGGCATGTGACACCACAACATCTAGCATGAGAATGGAGGTGGAGGCGGTTACTGCAGCTTGCCGGTGGCTAGAGAACAAGATGCATACACATGTCGTAATTGTAACGGACTCTTAAAGCATGCTGAGAAAGGTGAAGACAGGCATGCTTCCAGCAGAGTGGGAATCTTTACCGAGAAGGTCATAGGTGGTGAGCATACTTTGGATCTTTTCTCCAGACTATGCTGTCCTAGTTGGTAATGAACAGGCAGACAGATTGGCTGGATCTGCACCACTGGGTGGTGAATTGATACATGACAAGGCAGATGTGGTCAAGGCCCTTTGGGAACAAGCAACGGAATCGGCAGAGAAACAAGATTATTATGGCCTGGAGAGAATGAGGCACCTGGGTATAACCATAGGGTCTGGCTGGCTCACTACACTCAGAGAAGAGGCAAGACGGACATATAACCAGATTATGACCGGTAACATGAGTATAGGAACTCTGTGCTGGCTGCTGAAGATGAGGATGGAGCACACATGGGAATGCTCCAAGTGCTGTGATGTCAATTTTTGACTCAACTCAACTCAAGGACCCTTTTCCATGCCTTCAGACGAATTGGGCATATACGGCTAGGTCTTACCTATGACTCATCATCATCAGTGTATTCAGCTGTCTTTGCCCATATCTTGTGCAGTATTGTAGTAGAGATATGCTAAACAGGCATTGCACTGGGAAACAACTGTTGAGTTATAGAGACAATTTTGTCAATACAAAACATCTTCTGATTATTTTTGATGCAAATTTGTCTCTTTTAGTCCTAGTCTTTATAGTTTACTACTACCTAGAAGCACAGTGAATGCAAGTTCTACCGATTTTATGTCTCTATTGTCTACCCCTTGGGACTCTGATGCTAAACCACCTGTGACTCAAAGAGTTGAATAAACTAATACTCATGAAACTTATACATAGAATCACAGCCAAACATTGAGAGAGATAGATAAAACAGCTGTAAATAGAGAGAGAGATGGACAGATAGACAGGCAGTCAGATATACTGACAGAGCACATATATGCTATGTGATTTCTGTTGCTCATTATTAAATTGAAAATTTATTTTTTTTGAACAGAGAAGACATATAATACAATTCGAGACAAGGTTGGAGAATACACTGGACCAAAGGAAACAGTGAAAGGTGCACCACTAAAAGTGCAGAGGCAGTGAGTATTCATCATCACTGATCATTCAGTTAGATTATCCTGTCTGGACTACTACCTAAAGATTTACTATACCATCCTGAGATCAAAAACTCTCAAGGTTTACTATATCATCCTGAGATTAAAAACTCTCAAGGTTTACTATACCATCCTGAGATTGAAAACTCTCAAGGTTTACTATACCATCCTGTGATTAAACACTCACAAGGTTTACTATACCATCCTGAGATTAAACACTCACAAGGTTTACTATACCATCCTGAAATTAAACACTCACAAGGTTTACTACACCCTCCTGAGATTAAACACTCACAAGGTTTACTATACCATCCTGAGATTAAACACTCTCAAGGTTTACTATACCATCCTCAGATTAAACACTCTCAAGGTTTACTATACCATCCTGAGATTAAAAACTCTCAAGGTTTACTATACCATCCTGAGATTAAACACTCTCAATGTTTATTATACCATCCTGAGATTAAACACTCTCAAGGTTTACTATACCATCCTGAGATTAAACACTCTCAATGTTTATTATACCATCCTGAGATTAAACACTCACAAGGTTTACTATACCATCCTGAGATTAAACACTCTCAAGGTTTACTATACCATCCTGAGATTAAACACTCTCAAGGTTTACTATACCATCCTGAGATTAAACACTCTCAAGGTTTACTATACCATCCTGAGATTAAACACTCTCAATGTTTATTATACCATCCTGAGATTAAACACTCTCAATGTTTATTATACCATCCTGAGATTAAACACTCACAAGGTTTACTATACCATCCTGAGATTAAACACTCTCAAGGTTTACTATACCATCCTGAGATTAAACACTCTCAAGGTTTACTATACCATCCTGAGATTAAACACTCTCAAGGTTTACTATACCATCCTGAGATTAAACACTCTCAAGGTTTACTATACCATCCTGAGATTAAACACTCTCAAGGTTTACTATACCATCCTGAGATTAAACACTCTCAAGGTTTACTATACCATCCTTAGAATGAAAATTCTCAATCTGAAACAGTAACCTGTTGATGGTTAGGTTAGTTGCATATCCTTTACAGGACGTTGCAGAACCAACCCCAGCAGCCCCTGGCTGTTGTGTGGTTTCTCTAGGCAAATTAATGTCTAGTAGTTTGCTATTGCTTTCTGGACGGTTGGCACCTAATACCACTGTCAAAACCAACGCAAGGCACATGGCCAGCAGCTGGGATCGAACTCGGCACCCCAGCATTACGATGCATTCACATTGACTTAGCCACAGAGCTGACACCTGTTGATGAGATGTACAGATTATGCTATTGGCTGAGTTCATGCCTGCACAAACATTTAGCAGGTTTGGATATTAATATTCTAACTAAAACAGCATTTTGTCAGGTTTTCCTTGAAACCAAATAGCTATTTTTAAAGCCAAGTTGATGTCAGATTTTCTTGTAAGCGTCAGTGAAAGAAAAGTCATAGCATGAGTCAACTAAAGTATGTTTTGGACCACTTTTAAAGCTTCACCTGGTTCATGTTCATTGTTGACTCCCTTTTTATGTTGAGAAAAAATTATTTAAATTAACATAAAAAGTGTTTAACGAATTTATTAGTGACCTGTGTAAAACAACAATATTTTTTTAACGATTTTCCTAATGTTTCAATGGAGTTACGCCAATTCTTGTTTTTGTTTGTTTTGGTCTGTTATATTCTTGTCCCTCATGTGTTAAGTATGTGGCTCAATGTCATAAAGATTAGTGAGCACATTTCACAATCCACAAGTTTCTGGGGCTTGATCTATGGCAGATGGTTTTGAAGAAGACCATTCTTGTGACTTCTGGGGCATTTTTATTCACAGGGTGAGAGGCTAAGCTGTCACACAGTTTGAACCTACAGCTATGGAATAAAGAACACATTTTATTTATTTCTGTATTCACCCACTTATATCACAATTTAGCTATAATCTACAATACAACATGCTGTTTTAAGAGTGAACTACTTTTTCTTCTCTTTTGATGCAGTCCTGGTGATCTAGATATCATGGTGAAGCAAGTCCTTGCCCAGCTGAAGAAAATTGCCATCACTGACAAGTCCAGAATTGATGAGATGTTCCTGCGCTACAACAATGACCGCACCGGCTGCATTGATAAGGGCAATCTCAGGGACTTGTGTAAAAGGCTACAGCTGCCCACGGATGATGATCTTCTAGAGGCAGTAAGGATATAGCATTCATGAGTATAGTATTAAGCATTTCAGGGCTGAGTGGCTGGGAGCTAATTTCAGCTAAGAACCCACATTACAACAGTTGAGATATTTCCATAAGTGCCCTGTCCCATCTTTAGCAGCCAGCGCAGGGTTCCAATTCCAATGGTAGCAGCCATATTGTGTGTCCTTCTTACCTTTCCTGTTGAGTGTTGAATGTCTGCTAGGTCCCCTGGTCCCTGGCTGCGGCACCATCCTCTTCAGACCATGATGATCTATGAGTACTTCTGCTCTGTTCACTCACTCCCAAAGAACCTTAAACACATCTCTCTTGTCATGCATCAGCTTACTACCAAGCGATGCTGTACCAGCAGTATCCATCTGCCTCTTAATTTCCCACCACACATGAATACCCTGGAGAAAATATCCAAAGGATGCTAACTGTTCTATGAAGTGATGCTTGCCACTCTGCACAGAGCATTCACACCTGTATTTTTTTTTTTCCGAGCATGCATTTTAATTCTGTTGCAGTTTCCTTTCTCAGTGTTTACAGTCAGGTACTGTCCTTAGTGTAGAAAGTATACATTTGTACACAACTGTAAGCCAGGGAATGATGTACCACCTGTATTTTAGTATTGCCCATACAAGAAGCAAAGAATAGTGATGCATATCCGGAGTTTGGCAGTGCATCTAGCTTTGGATACTCCAAGTTGTCATTGATGAAGCAAGCACTGTTTCTAGTGTGTTTTAAGTGCAAGAGCTATTGTTCTGTAGTAACAGATTAGCATGACAAGCCATTTTGTATATGTTGTTTTCTTTCACTGTTGTCTTCTTAACATCATTTATACATTATGTTATTCTTCATCTTTTCTATAGTCCTTTTCTGCCTTTCAGTGTCAGGTTTTGAAGAAGCATCTGGTGTGAGCCTTTGCATGTGCCTGTTAAATTCTGGTATTCTTGGCCTGTAGATATTCCATCTATCCATTGGTCGACCTCCAGTTCTTTGTCCATTGTAACTGACAGGGCTCTATGTAGTGCCACATCTTGTTATAGTTTTGACACATGTCCAAACTTTTTTGATCTGTTGACTTTTGATGTAGTTTGGCACTGGTTCTGTCCAAACTTCTTTCCGATATCTTCATTTCTTATCCTGTCACTTCTTGTTACATTTGAGAATGGTCATAGACTTTTCATTTGTTGTTTTTGATTACTGCTTTCCTTTCATTGTTAATGTATTTCTTCTTCTTCTTCATTACTTGCCCTTAAAAGAGTAGTAGGTGATTTGCTGTGGTATACAGAGAGGCTACGATGTCTGCACCTTTCAGTTCAACACATCCAACTTACCAAAAACAAAGTTGGTCGCCTTGTACTACATGCTGGTTAAGAGGTGCTTGGTCAATTCTTGTCTCCCTCAAAACAGACCTGACGAGAGCTTATTACCATGTTTGGCACTGGTAACACAATGCTGGTAAAAATACTGTATTTACAAATGCTCTTAAACTGTCAGTTGTTCTCCGTCTGATTTCCTGGGCCCTTTTGGGTGAAAATTAATAGACCAACTGTACCCTGACCAACAAGCGTGTCCTAAAAGTCGACTAATTAAGGGTGTCTCCTTTGAAGTCGGAGTGCATCTGCCTGGGAGATGATAAACCAACAGTCTGCACACAAGCCAGATTTGTAAAATGATTGTGCATGCAAAACTAAGGTTCCGGAACAAGATCAAAGTCCAGAAGTGGATGAAAAAACTAGAACTTTCTCCTAGAGTTGACAGCCGGTGAACACGAAGAAGAAGAAGAGGAAAAGAAGAGTGTCAGTTGTTACATGTTTGTTCCATTATTTTATTGTTTTACTAATTCTTTCAGACACAAAGCTAACATTTAGTTGTTGTTTATTCAACAGCTAATCTCAAAGATTACCATGAACCCTACCGGAAACATCAGTTTAGAAGACTTCCGAGAATTTATTGAGGGCAAATGAGACCGGCTGTCTACCATATCAAACTCTGGCTAGTAGCTGAAATGTGCGATGTACTTTTTTAAATTATTTAAACTGTATCAACCCTATGCTATGCATAATGTGTGACTGCCTCTTTCATGACAGTCCCAAAGATCACTTCAAATGCCTTACTCTTACTGTGGCCAGGACACACTTTAGAATTACTCTTACTGTGGCCAGGACACACTTTAGAATTACTCTTACTCTGGCCAGGACACACATTAGAATTACTCTTACTGTGGCCAGAACACACTTTAGAATTACTCTTACTCTGACCAGGACACACTTTAGAATTACTCTTACTGTGACCAGGACACACTTTAGAATTACTCTTACTGTGGCTAGAACATACATTAGAATTGCTCTTACTGTGGCCAGGACACACTTTAGAATTACTCTTACTGTGGCCAGGACACACATTAGAATTGCTCTTACTGTGGCCAGGACACACTTTAGAATTACTCTTACTGTGGCCAGGACACACTTTAGAATTACTCTTACTGTGGCCAGGACACACTTTAGAATTACTCTTACTGTGACCTGGACACATTAAAAATTACTCTTACTGTGGCCAGGACACACTTTAGAATTACTCTTACTGTGGCCAGGACACACATTAGAATTGCTATTACTGTGGCCAGGACACACTTTAGAATTACTCTTACTGAGGCCAGAACACACTTTAGAATTACTCTTACTGTGGCCAGGACACACATTAGAATTGCTCTTACTCTGACCTGGACACACTTTAGAATTACTCTTACTGTGGCTAGAACACACATTAGAATTACTCTTACTGTGGCCAGGACACACTTTAGAATTACTCTTACTGTGGCCAGGACATATTAGAATAACTCTTACTGTGACCTGGACATACTTTAGAATTACTCTTACTGTGGCCAGGACACACATTAGAATTACTCTTACTGTGGCTAGAACATACATTCAAATTACTCTTACTGTGACCAGAACACACTTTAGAATTACTCTTACTGTGGCTAGAACATACATTCAAATTACTCTTACTGTGGCTAGAACATACATTCAAATTACTCTTACTGTGGCTAGAACATACATTCAAATTACTCTTACTGTGGCCAGAACACACTTTAGAATTACTCTTACTGTGGCCAGGACACACTTTAGAATTACTCTTACTGGGGCCAGGACACACTTTAGAATTACTCTTACTGTGGCCAGAACACACTTTAGAATTACTCTTACTGTGGCTAGAACATACATTCAAATTACTCTTACTGTGGCTAGAACATACATTAAAATTACTCTTACTGTGGCTAGAACATACATTCAAATTACTCTTACTGTGGCCAGAACACACTTTAGAATTACTCTTACTGTGGCCAGGACACACTTTAGAATTACTCTTACTTTGACAAGGACACACTTTAGAATTACTCTTACTGTGGCCAGGACACACTTTAGAATTACTCTTACTTTGACAAGGACACACTTTAGAATTACTCTTACTGTGGCCAGGACACACTTTAGAATTACTCTTACTGGGGCCAGGACACACTTTAGAATAACTCTTACTTTGACAAGGACACACTTTAGAATTACTCTTACTGTGGCCAGGACACACTTTAGAATTACTCTTACTCTGGCCAGGACACACATTAGAATTACTCTTACTGTGGCCAGAACACACTTTAGAATTACTCTTACTCTGACCAGGACACACTTTAGAATTACTCTTACTGTGACCAGGACACACTTTAGAATTACTCTTACTGTGGCTAGAACATACATTAGAATTGCTCTTACTGTGGCCAGGACACACTTTAGAATTACTCTTACTGTGGCCAGGACACACATTAGAATTGCTCTTACTGTGGCCAGGACACACTTTAGAATTACTCTTACTGTGGCCAGGACACACTTTAGAATTACTCTTACTGTGGCCAGGACACACTTTAGAATTACTCTTACTGTGACCTGGACACATTAAAATTACTCTTACTGTGGCCAGGACACACTTTAGAATTACTCTTACTGTGGCCAGGACACACATTAGAATTGCTATTACTGTGGCCAGGACACACTTTAGAATTACTCTTACTGAGGCCAGAACACACTTTAGAATTACTCTTACTGTGGCCAGGACACACATTAGAATTGCTCTTACTCTGACCTGGACACACTTTAGAATTACTCTTACTGTGGCTAGAACACACATTAGAATTACTCTTACTGTGGCCAGGACACACTTTAGAATTACTCTTACTGTGGCCAGGACATATTAGAATAACTCTTACTGTGACCTGGACATACTTTAGAATTACTCTTACTGTGGCCAGGACACACATTAGAATTACTCTTACTGTGGCTAGAACATACATTCAAATTACTCTTACTGTGACCAGAACACACTTTAGAATTACTCTTACTGTGGCTAGAACATACATTCAAATTACTCTTACTGTGGCTAGAACATACATTCAAATTACTCTTACTGTGGCTAGAACATACATTCAAATTACTCTTACTGTGGCCAGAACACACTTTAGAATTACTCTTACTGTGGCCAGGACACACTTTAGAATTACTCTTACTGGGGCCAGGACACACTTTAGAATTACTCTTACTGTGGCCAGAACACACTTTAGAATTACTCTTACTGTGGCTAGAACATACATTCAAATTACTCTTACTGTGGCTAGAACATACATTAAAATTACTCTTACTGTGGCTAGAACATACATTCAAATTACTCTTACTGTGGCCAGAACACACTTTAGAATTACTCTTACTGTGGCCAGGACACACTTTAGAATTACTCTTACTTTGACAAGGACACACTTTAGAATTACTCTTACTGTGGCCAGGACACACTTTAGAATTACTCTTACTTTGACAAGGACACACTTTAGAATTACTCTTACTGTGGCCAGGACACACTTTAGAATTACTCTTACTGGGGCCAGGACACACTTTAGAATAACTCTTACTTTGACAAGGACACACTTTAGAATTACTCTTACTGGGGTCAGGACACACTTTAGAATTACTCTTACTGTGGCCAGGACACACTTTAGAATTACTCTTACTGTGGCCAGGACACACTTTAGAATTACTCTTACTGTGGCCAGGACACACTTTAGAATTACTCTTACTGTGGCCAGAACACAGTTTAGAATTACTCTTACCGTGGCCAGGACATACTTTAGAATTACTCTTACTGTGGCCAGGACACACTTTAGAATTACTCTTACTGGGGCCAGGACACACTTTAGAATTACTCTTACTGTGGCCAGGACACACTTTAGAATTACTCTTACTGGGGCCAGGACACACTTTAGAATTACTCTTACTGGGGCCAGAACACACTTTAGAATTATTGTTACTGTGGCCATGACACACTTTACAATTGCTCTTACTTTGACAAGGACACACTTTAGAATTGCTTTTAATTTTGACAAGGACACACATTAGAATTGCTTTTAATTTTGACAAGGACACACTTTAGAATTGCTCTTACTTTGACAAGGGCACACTTTAGAATTGCTCTTACTTTGACAAGGACACACTTTAGAATTGCTCTCACTCTGACAAGGACACACTTTAGAATTGCTCTTACTTTGACAAGGACACACTTTAGAATTGCTCTTACTCTGACAAGGACACACTTTGGAATTGCTCTTACTTTGGCCAGGGCACACATTAGAATTACTCTTACTGTGGCCAGGACACGCTTTAGAATTACTTTTACTTTGAACAGGACACATTTAGGACTTACTCTTACTCTGGCCAGGACACACTTTAAGATTTACTCTTACTTTTTTTTTTTTAAAGATATATGAGGGGAGCAATTAATAAACATGAACATACATACTGTAAAGCTTGGACAGTTATCAGACAGGCTGAGAAACCTGCAGCTGAAAAATACAAAATAATACACTGCATGGACAGAACAAATAAGGCAGCTTCTCAAGATTCAGATGAAAACAAAAAATTGTGCTTATTGACATAGGCTAACGCTTTTTTTCTTCTTCAGCAGCAAATGAAAGAAAAATCAAAGTAATAGAGAGATTGTTACTCTGCCTCCCCCCCCCCCCCCCCCCCCCACATGTGGGATCTAGGGAGGGGGGAAATAGACCTCACTTCCCCCCCCCCCCACATGTGAGTTCTAGGGAGGGGGGAAATAGACCTCACTCCCCCCCCCCCCCCCTTTCTCACATGTGGGATCTAGGGAGGGGGGAAATAGACCTCCCTTCCCCCCCCCCCCTCTCACATGTGGGATCTAGGGAGGGGAGAAATAGACCTCACTTCCCCCCTCCTTTTTTCTCAACAAGTATGTCATGAGAGGTAACTAATTCAGAGTATTTCCTTGAAAGTCACCGACCAGAAGTCTACATATAAATCAGCCAGATCTGAAAAATTGATGTGTCACCGACCAGAAGTCTACATATAAATCAGCCAGATCTGAAAAATGGATGTGTCACCGACCAGAAGTCTACATATAAATCAGCCAGATCTGAAAAATGGATGTGTCACCGACCAGAAGTCTACATATAAATCAGCCAGATCTGAAAAATGGATGTGTCACCGACCAGAAGTCTACATATAAATCAGCCAGATCTGAAAAATTGATGTGCTCAAGCTCTAGAACAAGAACAAATGTCCAACAGTGGACAAACAACCAGAACTTTCTGCAAGACTTGACAGTGAAAGAACAACAATAAGACTAAGAGGAAGATACATTGAAAATAACAGCAAGACTCAGACAGGAACATAGAACTTATCCAAGATTAGTGATCCTGTGAGATGGCAAGCCATGATTACTTATAAATATCATAAAGCCACACGATTGTGATGATCATTTCCCACTAATGTTTTCATTTATCACAATATTATCCAGCTTTTCTTTTCTTACCTGCACACAGTATGTTGACCACTTTTTTGATGTCCTTGTCTTTTCCAAAACAAATGTCAATAGAAAGCAATAAACATTATTTTCAATTTATGTGAAACGTTTGTGTTCTTTTGACTTTAGTTGTAACTAAAGGGAAATCTGCGCTCATTTTATCATAATCATGTGCATTGCTAACAAACAAGAAAAATCATACTTCACAGAATTACCTGTCTCAGATCAAATGGGTTCTCAAACAACTGGAAAATCGTATCAATTCTTTGGAGATGTGGATATACAGAAGATTAGGTCGTATTTCATGGAAACAAAAGTTATCAAATACAGAGGTACTGAGGAACTTGGGAATGAAAAGAGAGTTGCTTGGTGAAATAAAAGAGAGACAAGTGAAATATTTTGGTCACATTAAAAGACATAACAGTATTGTAAAGATCATCCTAGAGGGAAAGGTTCAAGGTAGGCGAGCAAGAGGCAGACAGCATTACAAGTGGGAGGATAACATCAAGAGATGGACAAACAGCAGTATGAGTGAGTGTACATCAAGGGCAAGAGACAGGGCTTGTTGGAGATCCATTGCAGCCAACCTTCATTGTGGAGACAGCACCTGATTATTTGATGTGTATTTACAATATTAAACTAATTAGCTTTGTTTCCTTTAAAGTCAGAGGGCATCTGCCTGAGAGGCAAAGGTGAAGGTCAAGGTGAGAGGATTGACCTCTTTGCAAGGGTTTTATCCCATATGACCCAGTCTCTCTCCACATACCAGCTACCTGCCTGCCAAGAGCATTGCACAGAGCATGACCTCCTTAGCTCCAGCAATTATACCCAGGGATCTCCATAAAAAATTGCATTCGTGAACTTAACGACGCTCCTGTGAAACAAACCCATGACCTTTAGAGCACGAGGCATACGGCTTGACCACTTTGCCACGGAAACCATCAACAGTCCTTATACAAATAAAGCAGATCTGTAAAAAGATGTGCACGTTAAACTTAGAATGGGACAAGACTGAAGTCCAGAAGAAGAAAAACAACCAGAGTACAGTTTACAGCCAGTGAACATGGAGAACACTCCCATATTGTCATATAGCTATTTATCTGTCATTTTAAGATTCTTTTTCCTCATGTGAAACACATCTTCTTTCTCATCCCCATTGGAGCATAGTCCCTCAACCAACTTGCATCAAGCCACCTCATCCTTTGCCTTATCACATCATGTCCTCTACCTATTTTCACTCAATTTTCCAGTTCAACTTCCAGTGTCTTTTTTTTTGGGGGTCTCCCTTTGGCTGAGGGTTCCAGTGCAAGGAATTCTAATATTTACTCACAATGTGTGCCCTATCCGAATCCATCATATTACGCTCACATCTTCATTCTCTATCAGTTCTCCACTTTAGCATTTCTGTCATGCTATTCCATCTATTCTTTTTCATGTTCACTGGGTGTAAACTCCAACAGAAAGTTATGGTTGTTCGTCCACTTCTGCAGTCTAGTCTTAGTGTCACAATTGCAAATGCTTCTGTTTTCTTAAAGTGGTGATTTTCTTTGATTTTGACTAATAATTTGTGCACCCCTAAAAAATAGCCTATATAGTAACTGATACAGACGTGGGGATTGGAACCTCTCTGGCATACAATCAAAAATCAACAGCTCACAGGAGATTAATGCCGGAGATGATCAATCAAAACTGCTATGACATGCTGGCACTTCGATGTTTTGAAAAGTTCCAGTGACTTAAAACTGTATGCATGCCGACTGGTTTGGTTTCTTATAACCTTCAGTAATTTTATAAATGTATGCTTCTAGTGTATTGGCATTCTGTAATTTATTAATTTTGTATGTTTATTTTGTGGTCGAACGTATCCCGCCTTATGGTCAATGTCCACACACAGGTTTGGTATTGCTCTTGAGTCTATTACTGTTCTTTCTATGCTTCTCTTGGTTAGTATTAAGTCTGACTTTCAAAGTTCAGGTCATTCTAATTGTACTACGCATATATGTGAGACCACCGGTGTTGGAAATATGTGATGTTACTTATAAACACATCCTGACAATTTTGCTCAGGCAGCCTGCAGACATTTTAGCTTTTCTGCTCTCTGAATTTTCCTCTTGTAATCATCTGCTTCCTTCATTTCCTATTCTTACGTAACAATGGTGATATTTTGTTCTTTCTTGATACTGTTTATCATTTAATGTGCAAAAAAACTCTTTCTTCATAATTTTTAGTGGTGTTACAGTGCATATATTTGAACATACATTGCATTTACTCCATTGTCGCTAGTCGTAATTGTTATGATTCTTTTTGAGATGTATTGTGTTTATAATTCTCTTAACTAACAATATAGGGTCTAGTGTAAATTCAACCCCTTGTCTTGCCCTTTCATTCACTTCTACTCCTGAAAAAAATATATGCAAAATCTAGATGCACTTTCTTACCTTTTCCTCAAGTTCTTTGTTAGCCCTGACATTGCTTTTTTACGTTCTCTTTCTTTCAATAAGGACTTCTCTTTTGTTCTTAATTGTGCATATACTGATGATGCAAATTTTTTTGGGCACAGTCCGTTTCATTCTAGTTGGTTCATGACATCTTTTCATTTTTCTATGAGCACTTAATTTTTTTTTTTAAACTACAGCCATTTTCAATCAGTGTTTTTAAACTTTCTAGAATGGTCAGACTTGAACTGGCTGGACAAAATCACCCAAATTGCCAAATTAAAGTTATTACATATGTTATCATCATCAAGTGTCTTGCCGAAGGCGTGGGCGATCATAACCCTACAATCTGTGATCTGCAACTGTGTGTATCAGTTCGTGTTAACACCCCTCCATGCCATGACAAAAGGCCGTCAACAAGCTTCTCTCGCTGTATTCCTGTTATTACACACATACAATCTCAAAGACAACAAACAACCGGTTCTAAAATTTAAAGCATAATTTAATTGACACTCAAAGACTGTACACTTCTAAAACAAAATACTACAGGGGCTAACGTTAACACAATGAACATTTTTTTCTCCTGATTTCTTTTCTATGTAATTTGGACTGAAGCAGCCACCTACACCAGGAAATGAGGATCAACTGAGTAAGCTTCTTTATAGACAAATGGACAACACAACGAAGGGTTTTGTTCTTAAAGGTTCTGTACCAACAATGGACTCTAGGAGTCAGCTGACAGGAATCAAACCCCCGACTACAACAGCCAGCGGCTATAGCCCCAAAGCTGTGAAATCTCACCATGCTAGCCGAGGGTTCCTGCAACATTCACTTTTTCTTGGCAGCGGCCTTGGTGACCTTTCCAGAACTAGGCTCCTCTTTGATGACGGACTTGATGACCCCGACAGCCACAGTCTGCTTCATGTCGCGGACAGCAAAGCGACCCAGGGGTGGGTAGTCGGAGAAGGCCTCCACGCACATGGGTTTAGAGGGGATCAGGTCCACCATGGCGGCATCACCAGACTTGACGAACTTGGGGTTGTCCTCCAGCTTTACGCCAGAACGACGGTCGCATTTCTCTTTGATCTCCGCAAACTTGCAGGCAATGTGGGCAGTGTGGCAGTCCAACACCGGCGTATAACCATTCCTGATCTCACCCGGGTGGTTCAGGATTATCACCTTTAAGAAAGAAAAAAAGCATCACTTTGTTATATACTGATTTAAGCTAGCTTTATATATCAGTGTCAAGTTTAGCGTTTGAAAGCAGTTTGGTAATATGAAAAAGCTGGGGTTAAATCAAAATCGGCTGCTGCTGACGTGGTGGCATGATTTAGCAGCAGACTGCAGTTCCAGCATCAAACTAATCAGAAAGCATGGTAGATAAAACCACAGACATCACAGAAAAATTGAGCTGGTTTACGATGCTCTCTAAAAAGAATGTACAACACTTTTGTTTAAAAAATCCACAAGCAAAGTTATGTGGCATCGTGAATAGTGAACTAACTAACAACAATCAAGTAGTGAAGTTATGTGGCAGAGTGAATAGTGAACTAACTAACAATTATCAAGTAGTGAAGCTGGGTGGCATACTGGATAGTAATGCTTGCCTGCTAGGACCGGTCCAATCCCACACCATACACAGTATATAAACCAGATTTTTTGTATCTGTCTGCCAAAGAAATAACAAGGTATGGAAGAGGCGAACTGACACCTAAAACACATAAAGACCTAAAATTTGCAGTTTGTAGTCATCATATAAGCTGATCCCTAGTTTTGGAAAGAGTGTTTTAGAGAGCCACCTCAAAACCACATGGTTTAAGAGGATTAAGATGAGATGATGAGATGTTTTTGAAAGCCACCTCTACACCATAAGGTATGAAAGGATAAGAATTAGATGTTTTAGAGAGCTCCCCAACACCACGTTATTAGAGTATTAGGATGAGATGTTTCAAACCGTCACAATTTGCAATAAAGTTACAGTGGAACCTCGCTTGACGAGCACAATTCGTTCCAGAACCATACTTGTTAAATAAATGAAACACTCGTTATGCGAAACAATTTTTCTCATATAAATTAATGTAAAATACGATAATGTGTTCCATGTCGAAAATAATACTCACAAAATGCTATGTATAATGTTTATTCAAAGAATATTATTTACATATTGTTAAGGAGAGTGAATCATCTTCATCTTTTCTTCAAATGCAGAACGAACCCACCTGGAATGCGAAAATCAATTTGCAGAAAAAATGTCGAAATAATGATGATACACAGCTAATTATTTATTTTTACTAGAAAGATGTCCAGACACATTTGTTTTTGCCGATGCTTCAAAATTTTGCAAAAAATGCGACACAGCATTATCATTAAATAAATTTGCAACGTGCAGAGCCACTTCCTTATTAGGGTGATGCTTCTCAATGTAAGATGCAACAGTTTGCCATGCTTTCAGCATTTCACAGAAAATTGTTGCTTTTCTGTTACCTCCTCCTCTGGCAAACTTTCCTCCAAAACTTCTTGCTGTAAAACACAATGCAACTCCATAAGCTCTTGGGTGGTCAGCTCTTGGCTGGGCTCTGCCGCAAGCTCTTCGATATCACTGTTATCCACCTACAATCCCATGATAGTGGCCAAAGACACAATCTCGTTGACTACAGGTTTTACAGGTACTGCCTGGAACCCCTCAAAGTCACAAATTGACAACGCTCTCCGGCCAAAGCTTCTTCCAAGCAGAAGATAGGGTTCTCTTGGTAACCCCTTTCCCCGCCTTATCAATCATCTTGAGGCAACGTGGAAGTGATTTTTACAAAACTCTTTGAGGGTGAGGTTGGTCTCTTCAGTAACCTGAAAACAATGCTCGAAGAGTGCTTCCGTGCAGAGCTTCTTAAAGTTAGAAATAACTTGCTGGTCCATGGGTTGGAGTAACGGAGTGGTGTTGGGTGGCAAAAACTGGATCTTGATGAACTTAAAAAAATTCTTTAAAGACCCTGGAGGATTCATGTACATATATCACAATATAACACAAGTTTGAGAAAATGTGTGATCACAAGCGACACTACGATGCTACTGGAACGAGCGCTAAACACAGACTGGTGTAACATGCGCACAATTCGGGACTTCCCCTCTCCTTGCCATTCGTTATGTGAAACGTCGCTCGTTAAGCATGTTATTTTTTTACAATTTGTTTTGCTCGTTAAGCGAGGTTCTACTGTACTCTATCGGATTTACCTACCTGAGCGTGGAATAACTGGGTGCCCTTGGGTGGATCATTTTTGCTATCACCGGCCACGTTGCCACGACGAATCTCCTTGACCGACACATTCTTGATGTTAAAGCCAACATTGTCACCAGGTGTGGCCTCAGCCAGCGCCTCATGATGCATCTCCACAGATTTCACCTGTATTGAAAAAAAAAGTGTCTGGTCAAAATGAACAAGTGTGCCACCTCCACAGATTTAAAACAAACAAGTGTCTGGTCAAAATGAACAAGTGTGCCACCTCCACAGATTTAAAACAAACAAGTGTCTGGTCAAAATGAACAAGTGTGCCACCTCCACAGATTTAAAACAAACAAGTGTCTGGTCAAAATGAACAAGTGTGCCACCTCCACAGATTTAAAACAAACAAGTGTCTGGTCAAAATGAACAAGTGTGCCACCTCCACAGATTTAAAACAAACAAGTGTCTGGTCAAAATGAACAAGTGTGCCACCTCCACAGATTTCACCTGTATTGAAAAAAAAGTGTCTGGTCAAAATGAACAAGTGTGCCACCTCCACAGATTTCACCTGCATTTAAAAAAATAAAAAGTATGTCTGGCAAAGTCTAGAAAATAAAGTGTGTCATCTCCACAGATTTCATCTAGTGGGCTAGTGTGTGACCTGAGATAGCAACCTTCAAGATACAGCAGATGGGGTAAAGGTTCTCTTAACATCAATTTTTATTGAACGCCAATTCCTGGGGAGAATTATCAGCAAATGAACGAAGGGTCTGCGTGATTTTCTACCCATGGTTTTTTTTTTAAAGCACCACTTTAAATCAACTTTACAGAAGGAGGGGGGCAGAGCATGTATGTGAATGTCCCGAGTACAGTCATGTCAATTCTTGATTCAGTCACCATTCTTTTGTGATAAGCTCATAAAGTATCACAAACAGCAGTGAGATGTAGTTCCCTGTCTTGTGCTTGTTGTGTAGCTTGTGTTAATATCATATTACATTTCTGTAGTGTCTCTTTGTCGGCTCTGTGGCTAAGTCGATGCGAACGTTTCGCAATGCCAGGTTCGATCCCAGCTACGGGCCATGAGCCTTGCGTTGGTTTTGACAGTGGAATCAAGAAAGCCGACCATCCAGAAGCAATGGCAAACTACTGGACGTAAATTTGCCTAGAAAAACCACAGCCAGGGGCTGTTGGGGTTGGTTCTGCAACGCCCTGTAAAGGATACGCAACTAACCAATAGTGTCTCTTTTACTCCCTCATCTCTTTCTTACTGGGCCTCTTTTGATTTATAGCCTGTTGCTCCCATACTTTCTTATTTTGTTCCATTCTGACCAGATGACAGCAAACCATTTATTATTCAACTGCAGAATATTGTTAACACTAGCACTGCCTCTATAGGCTTTCATGGCAGCTGCAAACTGTAAAACATTTCTTGGTTCCCTTCTTTTATGTCACCCCATCTCAGGGGATTCCTAGGAAAGTTCCACTGTTAGTCGATGTGCATTTCATACGATGAACGAAATCCACAAACACTGAAAATGATGGCACAATAAACACTAAAAACAATCAACACATTCACAAAGAAAGACAGTTAGTTGTACAGTTGTTCACACACACACAAAAAGTTGCTCACTTTCATACAGACGACAGTTTTTCGACCTGTGCACACCTTTTCCCGCACAAACTCCCTAGGAAATCTCTTAACTCCTGAGACGGGGTGAAATATAAGAAAAGAACCCATTTGTTGAGATACATACCTCAGTGGTAATGTTAGTTGGAGCAAAGGTGACCACCATACCCGGCTTCAGAATGCCAGTTTCAACACGACCGACAGGCACAGTTCCGATACCACCAATTTTGTAGACATCCTGCAGGGGCAGGCGCAGAGGTTTGTCCACGGGGCGGGAAGGAGCAGAAACGGAATCCAGGGCATCTATCAGAGTCTTCCCACTGGCATTACCTTCTTTTCTTTCAACAGACCAGCCCTGTCCAGAAAACCACAAATTCCATTTGAGATTCAACAAAGAAAAACATGAACTATTTTCAGAAATTGTTATATTAGTTTAAAAGACAGGCAAACTACATGTTAATGAACACAAATGTCGAAAATTTAGACTCTGCAGATGAAACATTACACCACCATTGGACGTGCAACAATTAGGTAAAAAATAATTTTTAAACAACAGACACTTCCACAGGAATGTTGTCAAAAAGAAACAAATGTAAAAAAAATATGAAACAAGACAAGAGCGGGTGCAAATGTGGTTCCCTGATGAAGAGTATGGTAAGTGGGGTGTATCTAGGAAAGTTGTCTTTGTTTACAGCTAGATGGTCAGGTCTGCTGTTTATACCAACCATACAAGCCAACCGCTAGCTTCATAAAGATTGTTTTTACAGCGCCTTTGAACCACTTTTGGTGGTCAGCCAAAAATCGGAAGTCCAGGCAATAGATAACTGAATCGATCAATAATTCTAAAGAAAGTTGAAACAAAACCACCAGGGAAAGCATGAGAAGTCCAAGAATGTAGATACCTAAATAAATCAATAATTGTTAAGAAAATTGCAACAAGACAAGCAGTCAAAGCAAGAATGTAGATACCTAAATAAATCAATAATTGTAAAGAAAGTTGCAACAAGACAAGCAGTGAGTGCAAGTATGACAAGTCCAGGCATGTAGATCAATCAATAAATCTAAGCATTTCAATGGAAGTAGCAATGTGGGCATGCAAATACCTCAACCACTGAATAGCTCTAATTCTTTCAATGAAAGCATTCATGCATGACAGATATGCCTAGCAAGCACGAGTAAAGCACTTTACAGAATACAGAAAACCGGTTTGGTTAAAGCCGGTTTGGTTATTTCAGTCGCAGATATGAAGGGCATTAACATATTTCTACAATCATATGCGGAGGGAATACATGTTACATAACATGGCGTGCTAGCAATTTCTGTGCTGGTTTAACCTAACCTGCCACAAGTCCATAGGGAATTATTTAACATTATCTGCTTTAGGCAAGCTGCCAGAAGGTATCTCCAGGGCCTCCAGAGATTATCTCTTAGAACTGCAGTGTCCACACACACAAAAACCACTGGTACTCAGTCCCCTTCAATATCTGGGTGGCCTGTTGAGTGGTAGATCTTGTCCACTGAAAAATGAGTTTCAAAGTAAAATTTGTGACTTCTGACAAAGTGAAATTAAGTGTTGCAGAGGTCAAATGAACTCTCTGATATGCAGACTGCTTCCTGCTGACCCAGGAGGGAGGCAGAACAGACGTATATAAGGTTAAGCACATGATGGCCAAAAGGTCAACTCTGAAGCTGTGCTGTAAACAAGCCAGGTGTACTTTAAGAACCGTGGATGGAAAACATTACAGGAAGAAAAGACCAAAAGAGGCAAATGCAATCACCTTGTACCAGGGCATGTTGGGAGAATCGTCAATCATGTTATCACCGACCCACCCAGAAATGGGCACAAACGGGACAGCCTTCGGGTTGTACCCGATTTTCTTGATGTAGTTGCCGACTTCCTTGACGATTTCCAGGTAACGTTGCTGTTCAATATAAAGATGAAAACAATTTTAAAACACAGGCCATCAATAAAATGTCATGTTTTACAATTACATTCAAACAAGATTATGACGGATGACAAGGGAGAAGCGTCAGGACAATGACATAAACCTGTCCAAATGTACCTACACTACTACTGGGTGTAGAGGCTGCTATGTTACACAGAACCTGTTCTGTTGTATAGAGGAGAATCTTGAAATGTCAGCGAACAAATTAAGAAAAATTTGAAAGCAACAGAGATGTGGTTTCTGAGGTGAATGTTACAAATACCTTGGATGGCCAGAGTAACTAACAACAATTGCTTAAAAGAAGCTAATGAAAGTAGATCTCTATCTATAACAATAAGAAAGAGACAAACACTGTTCTTTAGCCACATAATGAGAAGAGACATTGTAGAACATCGTGACAACTGCAAAGATCAGTGGGAAAGGGGGTAGAGGCAGACCAAGAGAGATGATGCTGGATGGGCTGAAACGATGGAATGGAGGGATATCATCAAGAAAGCTGTTCCAGGTAGCCAGGGATACTGATCTGTTTAAATGCATGAGCCCCTACGCCAGTTGGCAGGGCACATGATGATGGTGACTACTCCTGGTCATCCAAGAAACACATTCCCTACTGGAAGCCTGGCTAATAGAGATAACATCAATATCTCCTTCGTCAAACATGAGTGGATCCTCCAACTACCTCAGCGCAGTGTTGGGAAAAGATAGACAGCAGGAGGTAAGGATACTTTTTGAACTCTTACTGTGTAAGTATGTCAAGTAAGCAACAGATTCCACCTTCAGGTGTCCAGGCCATAAAGAGCCAGACATATATTTTATAGATGGGCACTTGGTGGGTGGTGTGGTCAACATCCTGTTACCTGCCCTTGCTTCCCAAGTCTATACCTGGTACTTACTCGAGGCAGGGTTAACCTGAGAGCCAAGGTCTTTGTGGGGACCCAAACCATTGACCTCATCTGCAGCCAAACATTTAAGTCACTATACAAGGTTAATCTATTCTGTTGCCCCAATTAGCTGCAGAAAGGACCCATTTTTCTCAATGACATCTATGACTTTAAAAAAAGGTGTTGGGTTTGTCAGAGCAGACTAAAATATCTTTCTATGCACAAGAAGTGGCATTAGTTGACCTAGTACCCATTTTGCTTCTGTACATTGTATGTTGATTCCTCTATCCATGAGGAAAATCATTTCTAGATATTTAGACTAATTTAGTTGCATATTCCAACAATAACAAACATAATTTTAAATAAAATGTATATTTAGTTGTATACAATTATGAGCAATATAATTTAACTTAAGAAAATGTCACCTGACTGTAAGGAGGTTGGGTGCTGTCCATCTTGTTGATTCCAACGATTATTTGTTTCACACCCAGGGTGTAGGCAAGCAGAGCATGCTCGCGGGTCTGGCCATCCTTGGAGATACCAGCTTCAAACTCTCCAGTTCCGGCGGCAACAATCAACACAGCACAATCAGCCTAGACAATACGCATTATGTGAATACAATAAATGAATTAGTAATACAGCAGAATATTGTATATTGCTTAACGTCTCCTGAATATTTTATATACTTTAACAATTCTCTGAATTCAGCATTCATACTTTATTTTGACCCCAATTTAATCCTTTAACTACATGATAACTAAAAGTATCTAAGGTAACTGACGTATCAAAGTAAGTTCGCACTTACATATTCACCTACACCAGCCTTTAATTTTTAAAACTCTTTTCCTGTCCCACATGCTACGGTAGAGTCACCACCATCATAAACCACTTTTGCCATTAAGCGTCATAGGGAGGAATAATATGCGATTCAGTGCATGCTGGTTAGCTCTGGCTTTGGTCATGCACAGTGTCTTTAATGTTGTCGATCCATTATGACATGGCCATCCTCTTGTTCTTGTAGCTGAGATGCAGTGTTTGTGAAGGTATCTGATACTGCCTTCTATGGAGATGGCCGAACCACCTGATCTGCTCTTTTTCGATGACTTTAGCTCAAGGTTTTCACAATCAGTCAGAGTAGTATTATTTAGATCCAATAAAACAACAGAGCATAGGTAATCAAATCACCACCAGCCATTCTAGTCTAACTTACCTCATCCTTTTCTCCAATCCTCTTCAGTGTTCAGCGTGTCAATCATGTTTATTTCAAGGAACTACAGTTAAACTGCCGGTGCTAATATTGTACAGAAATTCATTAACTGGTGCCTGTGCAGAACAGAGGTAATTAAATGATGTGATGGAATCAATCACCATTGTGAAGCTCAGAGAGAATTAAAAATTCTAATGAATCAAGGTTGAAAAATAAATGCATTAGGACACGTATTCTAGAGAGCATTTAGAAGGACTTTACACTGGAACCAAACACACAGGGACAGAGAAATCAAAGGAGACCCAAAAAAAAAAGGACAGGGAGAAGGAGACTACACAGTGAAGTTAAAAAGATGGGAAGGACAGCAAAGAATGGGTCAATTTGGGGTGAGCTGGTTGAGAGCCTATGCTTCACTGATGAATAAATGGCAAACAGAGAAGATGGCTAAATTGCAAGTACTGGCCAAATTTAACAAAGTTAGCTACTGTCGATGTACAATGGTAGTAAAACTAACCCACATACAGCAACCTGAAATGAAAAGACAACAAACATGTTCAACAGTACCTGAGATGTTCCGGTGATCATGTTCTTGATGAAATCCCGATGACCAGGGGCATCAATGATGGTGATGTAGTACTTTTCAGTCTGGAACTTCCACAGAGCTATATCAATGGTGATACCTCGCTCACGCTCCGCCTTCAGCTTGTCCAACACCCAGGCATATTTGAAGGAGCCCTTGCCCATCTGAAAATGTCAATTTTATTACAAGTAAGCATTTTTTTGTGTGAAAAGAGTTTTAGTTGTCTATCTCACAATATAAGGCAGGTGTTTAATGCCTTACTTTCTTGTGAACTCCGCTAAAACCGGTCACAAGCCTGGCTTGTTAAGTGGAGGATCTGGCTAAATATGAGTGCTTAACGATTCCCTGGAAGTAGTGAGTAACTGTGAATCAGTTAGATGTCCTGCAAAGAGGCAGCCCTTCCACCATGCAAAAGCACAACAGGCTAATCACCTGACTGTCATAAACTATGACTGCAAGTTACAACAGAGAAAACTGCTGACAGAGATCTCTCTGGCATAACTCTATACACCAAGAGAGAAGAGGATCGACCAAGTAAGTGATGTTTTCTTGTTACCACATGACTGATGTTGAAGGCAGAGTTCTTGCTAACAAGTACCATACACAGCCCAAGTGAGTCCATTAGTAAACTACTAAAATGAAGCTGATACTTGAATTGTCTGTAATTAAGTGATTCCTGTTCTCAAGTGCAGAATGATGACCTATCCATGCTAGCTAGCAGACACAACCCAATTGGTCAATTTTTTTTTCAAAGTGCATAATTTAATTGTCTTTGTCTATCTATTTAATATTTTGCATTTCTCCTTAAAAGGGCAGTTGGCATGGTGTGTTGTGGTTATAACACATGACACATTCAGTAAATTCTTAGTCGGCGTTTACAACATGTTAAGGAGCAGCAGGGGTACAGAAACGACACAGAAAGATCATTGCTCAGTCAAGGGGGTTTTGTATATTAGCAGTGAGCTCGTCCCAGACATTCACCCTCTCTTCAGTTCAGCATTTGTTCAAATGCAATAATAGGTTTCCTAAACTTCTGCCAAGAGTTCACTGAACTTCTTTATATCTTAATTCATTACCTGCTATGTGGCTTGACAGGCATGACAGTTTTTGCCAATAAATTACAAGATGGATTATGCATACTTACTATCTACTACATATTTTGAGAAAAGCTGTCCTATATTTTCAATTTTACTGCAGCAGAAACCATTCAATTTTACACATGCTTCCGGTCAAAATGGACGTTAGGCAGGGTCACTGTTTTGAGTAGTGGCAAATTTTTTGCTTCTGCTGCTTTATTTGTAGACAGAGGATATGGTTTCGTCACCCAGCTACTGAGTTGAGTGCATGGTGCGACCCTGTGAGGTGCGGATTTCATTTGGAATGTTTTTTGACTGCGATCATTGTAGTGTTGTGAATTGTAGAAAAAGGCGCGTGATCTGTCTTCGCAATATTGGTGGTGCCCTTATGTGATTATAATTGATTGTGTGTGCAACTGCTGATTTGTTGGTTACCTCTGCTATCGTCGATGATGAACTGCATTTCTTAGGTCAGACTATTTGTGTTAGCACTTCTAATGGCTACTGTAGGCTTTTAATGCGTGTGTATGTTAGTGCATATGCTGAGACAGCAGTCTGTCAATCTCTTCACAAGGGACTGTGATGAACATTCTGTGTGTTTTTCACTGACACAGGAGCGGAGCAACTATGGGGTGACCAGTTTGCTATGAAGCTGAAACTAAGATTAACATGCAATCCCTTAAATTTTCAAGTCTTATCATTACAAACAGTCAACAGTTTACCTCTTGGGCTTCCTTTTCAAACTTGGCAATGGTACGCTCATCAATGCCACCACACTTGTAGATGAGGTGACCTGTGGTGGTGGACTTACCAGAGTCCACATGGCCAATGACTACAATGTTGATATGAATCTTTTCCTTGCCCATGTTTAGTCTCAGTTTTCACAACTGCAATAAACCACAATTCACATTTCACAAACATCAAAGCAAACAAGTTCAACGCTGGACATCCCTCAGAAACTGAGTGTCGCGTGCAAATCCATTTTACAGGTCTGACTCATCTGCATGCAGACTGTTGGTTCCTTACCTGGCAGGCAGATGTACTCCGACTTCAAAGGAAGGTCCCATTTAGTCGACTCTCAAACCATATTTTTAGGCAGGTCTATTCTTGCTTTTCCCCACAAACAATGGGGCCCCGTAACCCACACGGCACACAAATTTTCTGATATCACAATTCTAATTTAACTCCTATTTAAGATTATTAAATAATGAGTTTGTCTATTGTCAAGAGCAAACATATCTATAAATTAACGTAATGAAAGCAGAAATATAATTCAAGCAATTCTTACAGTACATGCCGTGTTCCAAGTTTTTGGTGTTGTGTGACTCTCAGACGAAACATATTATGCTTAGCAAAACTAAATTAGCAATCTCACGTCTAATGAATATAAGGACTTAGGATAAGCAGCACCCCATAAAAATATCTAGCCTAAAGAATGAAGTATCTTCTGATATGAATGACTGGTTCTCTTTCAAAGCAACACTTTCTTTTTTTTTTATTTAGTATATTTTTGTTTTAAACTACATTTACTACATCTAAACAGCTTCCAGGTAACTTTCAAGTGGCAAGCTGTTCAAGACTTACTCCCTTCCATTACATACTTGAGGTTTCAATACTGGCTCTAACTCTACACCACCACTGACTTGCTGATAATCATAAAAATTAACATAAATGTATGTAATAAATGTATAATTAAACATGTTTTGTTTCCTAAGCCAATAGTGATTCTTACACTAACAACAATACACTACTCACTATCCATTAATGTTAGAATAGGACTTAAGTCATAAAGTAAACATTGAAACATCTCTATCCCCTGTGGGTTCAGGGGCCCTAAAGTGGGGAAAACAAGAATAGTAGACCCACTGCCTACACAAAAGCATGTCGTAAGAGTCGACTTATTGGGAGCTTCCTTCAAAGTCGGATTGCATCTGCCTGAGAGGCAAGGAACCAGCAGTCTGCATACAAATGAGTTACATCTGTAAAACGGATGAACGCGCAACACAACACTCAGACGTGAAGAAGAAATCTCTAAATGAAATCATGATGATGATGATGCTACAACTACAATTACTGCAGACATGACCAATAATGACCTTTATTCCTTTGTTTACAGGAGACAACATTTATACATTCCATGGTGTAATTAATTTTGGCACTTCTTGCAACGTCGACCCTAGAAGGACGCGGTCTTTTTTTTTTTTTTTTTTTTTGCAAGTTACAATTACCTTAAAAAGTGCCCAAATATAGGGGAAATAATCCAGTATTTGTGTGAGTCGACATAATTACATTCTTTTATATTTAATTCTGTTTGAGATTAGGGTTAGAGCTAACCCGAACCCAGGCATCAACCCGAACCCAAGAACTAACCCGAACCCAAGCACTAACCAGAACCCAAGAACTAACCCGAACCCAAGCACTAACCCGAACCCAAGCACCAACGTTAAGCAACAGTAAATATTACAGAACATTACTGTGTGAACATACACAAACAATGGATGGTTTCCCTTACCGCCGTCGCAGTAAACAACCACTGATTAAGTCGCCGTTGCAAGAAGTAATAGTGCCATTTTAGGCTAAAAATCTAAGTATTTATAACCGTTTCAACAAAGTTTCTTTCAGTTTGACAACTAGATCAGACTCCAATATAGAAAACAGTAACTCTTTTCAAAGAAGGAAAACATTTCTGAACTTCTAGCAAAATATTTTCTGAACTACTGCTCGCAGACTTGGAACTTTCGCAGACTTTCAGCCAGTGCCCAACATCAGATTCCAGACGACGGTCGATTGTTCAGCACATAAGTATTATAATAAATATATTATTACATTATAACAGCAGATTCTTGATAAAATTTACGAACATCGCCCAACCAATCTATTAAAACCCCTTTTAAATTATAAGACAATATATTATCAAGAGAAATGGCTCTGGAAACGTAAGGTAAACAGGAGAACAGCTGTTGACCGGTACTGCAACATCTTATCAAGTTATATGGCGGATAGTTGCCGGTAAGCTAACTGGTCATTTCATTCCAAATAGACTAGATACTATGTTATTAATTACGCTAATATGCATGCCATTCTTTACTAAATACCTTTCAGATTCACAGTGTTTACAACTGTAAAACCGATGGCAAATAGGAAAGAAGGATTTGACGACGATCGAAGCCGTGAGACTTTGCAAACGCTTGGAATGCGGAGAAATACCCACTAAAGTAGTCGACGGAATAAGATCACGTGACTAAATTAGCCTCGCACTTGAATGCTGGGATACACTGCGCATGACGTCACATTCTAAAAATAGCCGACCGTGTCAGGTAAATTAGGGAACCTTATGTCATGGCTCTTTCTTCGGCCTGTTATGTATATTGCACATGATGGTGTATATAGATTATATTTGTTAAGGCTGCTTTCAGTTATTTCCTTGGAGGGGGGGGGGGGGCGTAGGGGGTTGTAATTGAATCGGTTCGTCATGAATTCACTTGCGACTCCAAATGCATAAAGAACCACAGCCCCCTCCCGTCCAAATACGTTGTAAATACATTCAGTCGTATAATAAAGATGGGTTTTTTGTGTGTGTTGGTCCTGCATGGGTAACCTTCTCAAAAAGTTACATAAATTGGACAAGATGGCGTGTGTGTGTCTCTGTGTGTGTAGACATAATATATAAACTCTCTACATATAAATATATTTAGGCCTCTCTCTCTCTCTCTCTATATATATATATATATATATATATATATATATATATATATATATATATATATAATAGAACGTGTTGTGACCACTGGAAAGATCTGTGGAAGGAGGGATAGAGGAAAACAAAGAGAGAAGATTCTTGACAGTCTTGTTGCATGGCATGGAGGTGTGTCGGCACACGAACTGATACATGCTGCAGAAGATCACAGATTGTGGAGAGGCATGATCGCCCACTCCAGTCGGCAAGGCACCTGATTATATATATATATAGGCATGATCACCCACGCCAGTCGGCAAGGCACCTGATTATAAATATATATATATATATATATAATCAGGTGCCTTGTCGACTGGCGTGGGCGATCATGCCTCTCCACAATCTGTGATCTTCTGCAGCATGTATCAGTTCGTGTGCCGACACACCTCCATGCCATGCAACAAGACTGTCAAGCATCTTCTCTCTCTATCTCTCTCTCTTTCTCTCTCTCTTGCTCTCTCTCTCTCTCTATATATATATATATATATATATATATATATATATATATAGAGAGAGAGAGAGAGAGAGAGAGAGAGGACAAAAGAGAAGATCATCATCATCATCAGTTTCCATTTCTGCCGTTAAGCCGCGTGGGAAGAAACAGATTATGATCCACTGCTTGATGGGCAGCAATGTCGATTGTCATTCCGTGTCACAAATCCATCTTGTCCTAGGGAAGAGAAGGTCAGAAGTGATAAAACCCGAAAGAACTGCCAGGGGGCTTGTCGGGGGGGGGGGGGGGTGCCAATAAAGATAAAATATTGGAAAAGCGCTGAGCTCCCCCTTCCCTCTCCCCTTTTCATCTCCCTTACAAATGTTACTGTGGGTTCACGGAGTTGCCTAAACCTGATTTAAGTGGTTATTAATAGTAATATTGATGATGATGATGTTATTGATAGTGGCGATGACGACGACGATGATAATGTGTTGCATAGCAAATAAAAATGACAGAACATTTGAACTCCTTCTTCTTTTTCTTCTTCTTCTTCTTCTACTTCTTCTACTTCTTCTTCTTCTTCTTCTTGCGCTCCGACTTTGAAGTATGTCCCCAATTAATCGACTCCTACGACATGCTTGTTGGGGAGGCAGTAGGTCTATTCTTGTTTTTCCCCATACTGAGGCCCCGGAACCCACACGGGGAATTCTTTTATTCTAATTCGTGAGACTGAAATGTTTTCCGTGTGTGGCGACTCTGACAGCTAGACATCTCCTTCTTTTTCGTTCACCCTTCAAAGAATACGTTGGCAGAGTGTGTGTGGTTGACAGCAAAACTGTGATATCTGCGCTCTAAGTTCAACTGATCCGATTTCAGCAGATACCTAATAAGTCGCCGTTGACGCCAAGCCTGTTGAAAGCAATGGGCCTTTTCACCACCCCACCCTACAACCAGCCACACCCCCAACAAATGGTACCCTAAAGCCTACACCGTTAGCCTTGGTATCTAATAGCTGTAGTAGCCATGTTCATGATATGACTTGTCAGTGGTTTTTTACAATGAATGGTGCAATCTTGCTAGGGCGTAGCCAAAGTAATGTTTCTTTATGTAAGCTATTCAGTATAGAGTTTCTGCTTTGCCATAGCAAAAGTAACTGCTCTAAATGCGAAGTACTTTAACTATCTGGGCCTTTCATTTTTTTTTTTTTTTTTTTGGCGATACGCAACAGGTCGAATCAGGCTTGAGTGGGTACCAGGTGCAGTCATGGAAGGTAAAGACGACAGGCGTGGTGTTACCACATCATACACCCCGTCGATTGGTCTATCAAACATAGGTCTAGTCTGAAGGGGCACGGATAGGCGTCCTTTACTTTTCAATTACTAATGCAATAGAAAGGTGGATGCGGGGGTGGTATCGACGTCTGTTTTTTAGGCACTGCGTGATGAGTATCTATACTTTTATTTCTAGAAGAAAAGCCCAACTATCGATCCATCAATAAAAATTATGCATTTGCGTCGGGAAAAGAGGTGAAATATTTATGTATGTATATAGTTTATTCGGTGTTAGTTTTCAGACGATAGCCTTATGTGGGCTATTGGGAGGTATGGTAATCATGTTACTAAAGTCATGGACAATAGTACACTTGTTCCGGTAGCGAGACGCTGTCGTCGTTTAGTGGTGACAGGTTCGATTCC